GCCATTCTTCGCACCGGGAAGGTACGAGAACGTCGGCTGGTATTCCGCAAGGATGTCATACCAGCGAGCGAGTCGACGGTTGGCCATCTTCTGGGTGAACAGTCCTTCGAGACTTTTGTGATCTGTCTCGACGATGGGTGGGTTGTCCAGGCAGTAGATCCGAAACGTTGCCAGAGCATGAACGATCGCTAGTAGTTCCTGCTGCTGAGTCGGATAGTTGAGCTCCGCCGACTTCATCTTCCGGCTTGTGTACGCTATCGGGCGCTTAACTCCGTCCACCACTTGAAAAAGGACTCCACCGACAGCAAACTTGCTTGCGTCGGTACGCAGATGCATGGGGCTGCTGAAATCCGGCAAGTGCAATACTGGCGGGTTGCACAGTCGCCGCTTCAACTCCTTGAAGTTCTTCAGCTGCTCGTCGCTGAGATGAATCTTGGCGTTCCGCTTGTTCTTCTTCTTCAAGAGCGCAAACATGGAGGCTGTCAGAGATGCGTACTCTGGACAGAATCGCTGGACGTAACCTGTCGAGCCAAGGAAGCTGTGAAGCTCTTCTTGCGTCCGTGGTACAGGCCAGTCCTCGATGGTCTGCACCTTGTCTGGATCCATCCGAACTCCATTTCGCCCTACGAAATCTCCGAGACACGGGATCTCGTTGGAGCAGAAGACACACTTGGACAGCTTGACGTACAACTTGTTATCACGCAAGATGTCAAGTGTTTTCCGCAGTGCGTCCAGATGGTCCTCGATCTTCGGTGACTTGGTGAAAACATAGATGTCATCGTAGAACGACTTCGTGTTCTTCAAGTCTCGAAAGAGCTTCGACGTCACTCTGTGTATCGTTGCTGGCGCGTTGCAAACTCCCATTGGAAGAACGAGATACTCCCAGAGACCGTTCGGCGCTTGGAATGCGGTAAACTTGATGTCTTCTTCCCGCATGCGCACTTGGTAGTACGCGGACATCAGGTCCACCGTGGAGAACCAGTACGCACCGGACATGGTGTCAAGGATGTCTTCCTTCCTCGTCATCGGGATACTTTGACGCACGGTATTCGAATTCAAGTACCGGTAGTCGTGAACAATTCTCAGGCTCGTCGCTCGTCTTGGTCTTGATTCTCAGGAACTTCCGCAACTTCTTGCGCGTGATGTATTTGGTCTGTATACCACTCTCGTCGACAACTCCCATCGTGAATATCTTCTCCACGGCGTTGTCTCCACCCCTGGTACTGCTGCTTCCATCAGCCTCGACTACAGTACACTCGCGCTCAGACGTCGCAACGTCGTCGTCTCCAGCTGAACTCTTGCCAGCTTGCGCGTCATCATGTCGTCCGCGGACAACACTTGGGGATTTCTTCTGCACTGCGTCACCAACAGCTTCAACCGTGAGCTGCACATCCGTTTCCAGCGCGGCACCTCGACAGGAATCGGGTCTTTTCGCCGACAGGCCTTTCGTCTCGACAGATCTCCGAAGCCCGGAGGTAATCACCGGTCCGCCTTCCTCGATCGGCACACAGGTCTTCCCTGTTCGCTTCCAGTGCAGAGTCCTCGTTCTCGTTCCTTCGATTCGTCGACCTCTCCAGTCAATATGTGGTTGCATGTCTTCGAAGAATGGTATCCCAAGAATGCAATCGAATTCGTCTGGAATCGGGTAGACGACTGCCACACACTTGTAGGCGTCGTCCAGCCTCGAGACCAGAATCTCTATCGGCAGAACTTCAAGCTCCGCCTCGACAATTTGGTTGTCTCCCAGCTTGACACGAATGTTCTTGTCGCTGAACTTGGTTGTCTGAAGCTGGTGCTCCTCGACCCAACGCTTGGATACGTAGATCGTGGTAGCTCCACAGTCCAACAACATGCTTCGTGTCGCGAGACACTTGTCACCAACACTGATTTCACCTGTTACGGAGAACAGTGGGCGTGACTTGTAGACCAGAGGGTTTTCGCACAGAACGTTCAAGCTGATATTCTCAATCTTTGGTGTCCCGGTTACGCTCTCGCCCACGCCAGGACCCTCATTCCCTGACGTGGTTGCTCGTTTCCCTGCTTCTCTTGCTCCTTCTTCCAGAGGAAGCAGTTGGCCTTGATGTGGTCAGGCTTCTTGCAGTGATAGCAGGTGCGGCCTTCAGTACGCTTGGAGTCAGACCTCGGCTTGAACCGTCCCTTGCCGCGGAAAGGTTTCCCTTTGAATGACTTGTCTTGCTTGGGAGCTTGATCGGCGAAGATCTTCCTCTTGTCTTGGCGGGACTGGCGGTCGCGCACGTCGTCCACAAAGTGCGTAACTTCGTACTTGATCGCCAGATCCATAGCCGCGCTCAGCGTCTCTGGGTTCTCGAGCTTGACGTAGTTACGGGTACGAGGCTTGAGACCGTTTGCGTAGCTTAGTACCTGGTCAAGTACACTCATGCCCTCAACTCGGAAGATAAGAGCAGAGTATTCGCCGTTGTAGGTCTCGATGTCCGCCGTTTGCTTGAGTCGCTGCAGCTTTTCTCGCAAGACGGCCTGGTAGTTCGAAGCTTCGAAGTGTTGGAGCACATGCTCACGGAAAATCCCCCACGTGTGCTCCTCACTTCTCGTCGTCGATGACCAGTGCAGGAACCATCCTGAGGCCGGCTTTTCCATCGCCGACCCGGCGATACCCGGCAGACGCGCGCTCGCGTCTTCGATTTGGAACAGCCCTTCGCGAACGTCTTCCCCCCGCTTGCCGGTGAACTTGGGCAGATTGGTGGGCACTCGCGTGCGCTCTGCCATCGCTTCATTCAGCCGGTCGATCTCGGCTCGTAGCTGGGCATTCGTCGGCATGGGCTTCTTGTAGTCAGGTTGCTGGGACCAACAAGTGCTACCAGTTTAACAGGAAGAAGTGCTGTCTTGGGGGAGGGCATGCGGAACTAAGAGTGCCGCCCCCACAGTTCAGGCGGATGGAAGCTTCGCGAAGCCTCCACAGCCGCCCTACATCTGCATATCTATTTTAACTTGGTTTCACTATACCTACGGTGAGTCGTACCTACACTGACCTCCTATTGGCTTACCTTTCTACCAATCAGATACAATGGACGTCAGCTGAAGCGGTCACTTGCCCTGCCTCCAAGCTTCGTGCCGTCGGAGCAACGCGTCTTCCTTCCCGGCGTGCAGGGCCTGGCTGGCAGCTCGGCCCTGCTGGGCTGGATTGAGTCAGGTGAGTCAGCACTGCCAGCAGGAGGACGCACTGCCCAGCACGCCACGTACGTCCGCCCATGGCGACCACCTGTTTGAAGTGCACCTTGAAGTGCGAGGTGAGAAATCGAAGCGATGACGAGCCCGATCTACTAGCGAGATAGAAGCGTGCGGGGCTGCTGCTGCTGCTTGGGTCGAAACGACCCGGTGGAGCTCAACTCCGGTGCCTGCGTCGAACACTAGCGGCCCCGATCCGCAGATCGCCGGCTCCGGGACTTCGAGATATGTGCATCAATTGCCGGTGTCTCGCCGCAGCCAGCACATTGGCCACTGGTGCCAGCCCCCGCTCTGGCCCACGAGGCTCCGCAAAGTTTGAGTCCGAAAAATTCTGCCTGCCCCTGATTCTGCCCGTCCGTGTTGAAGCCGCACAGGCAATAGGCGAACGTTCTGGCCTCCTTCAGCAGCGATACCACCAAGAGCTCCGGCGGGGAGGAGCTCCTTCGCTCGCTGGCCAGCAGCAACTCAGCTCGTCCGCAGGACACAGGTATGCGCGCAGATCGTAGAAACGGCGTGAGCTCCTCGGCGCGCGCTTCATGGCCAGCTCAGTTGACACGCAATTCAGCAAAAACGCGTCTGCTTGTCGCGGAGAACTCAGTATCTTCAGCTTGGCCAACAAACACGCGCCAGTGAAGTGGAGACCGTAGCCTGCCCGGCTCGGGTCCCCGCACTGTGGACAGCTGCACCGATCGATCGCATCGAACAACCCCGCCGCCGCCGCCACAGTCGATGATCATGGCTACATCATGGCTACGCGCCGTCGCCGTAGCTGCCACCTCAACGCCGCCGCGCGCGGGAATCAGCATCAGCTAGCTGATGCCACCTGGCCGCGCGCTGTCGTGCGAGGGAGGGATGCGGAGCGCTCGCTTGCTCTCTTCAAGACGGTCCGCTCTGGCACTGCCTGGCTGCCTGCCTGGCAGGTTAAGCGAGCCCGCCACCCACTCATTCATGCGGCGGCCCCGCTCTTGGTCGCTCCGGCCGGCTGGGCCGCTTCAACGATGCCCGCAAGCCCCGTCCAGACTCCAGACTCCAGAGCTTGCTGCTTCTTGCTCCTGTTGCCTTGCCTTGCTGACTCGGCCGCCACGTCCGACTAAGATCGCGGCGCAAATCTGCAAACGATGCCGGTCGGCGGTCTCCCGTGCCATGATGCCGGCCGTCCCACTCGACGCAGCAGAGACTCTGCAGAGTTGAGGCCCGGCATTTCCGAGGGGGCCCTCGCCTCGCGCGCTTGAAGGTAGCAGCTAGCTCTCTGCAGAGCAGCGGCCAAGGGGCTTATCATTTAGCCTGCCTTGTCGTGCATGAATAGCGTGGTGCTGCCTCCGCCGACCGACCAGGGTGTACCCGTAGCAGCATACGTGCGGCCCGCGCAGCTCGCCTCGGTCGAGGCCACGACAGCCAGCGCTCGCTACAGTATCGGGCAGCGCCAGCGCCCCGTATGACCCGCTGCTTATCGGATGGTGCCCCGCCGCCTATGCGCATCCCACTCGTTGAAGTGGCAGCCGGCGCCGCACCGAGAGTCCTGTCTGTTGCCGCCGCGCGCTCGGTCTCTTTTCGCTGCCATTCTCCAATCTGTCCAAGCAAGCTCAAAGCTATCACACCTTTAGCTTTCATCGACCACCTGATGCTTACACTGAGCTTGGTTGTTTGTCATGGGATACCCCACATCAGTCAGCAATAAAGCTAGATTGTTTTACACAACGATCTTACGTGCTAGAGCTTGTACCGGGGCTTGCAAATGGCATAGAAATTGCTGAGAGTAGCTCGAACACACACATGTACGGTGACCTCCACGACAGTTATTCCAGCTCGACGAGCACGTTGCCGTCCGTCACAAAATCGTCCTTCTCGCAGAAGAGCTCCTGTACCTTGCCATCTTTGGGCGCGCGGATCATGTGCTCCATCTTCATGGCCTCCATGATCAGCAGCGGCTGGTCGGCCGTGATCGTGTCGCCGTTCTTCACCAGCACCTTGATGATCTTGCCGGGCATCGGCGCCACAATCTTGCTGTGCGCAGCTGAGCCTGCACTGCCCTCTGCGGGTTCAAACGACGGCAGCGGGACGTGGAACTTGTACTCGTAGCGCTCGCTGTTGTCGTCGCAGAAGAGGTGGAGATCTTGGTTGTGGATCACCGCCGTACCGTTGAACGTGCGGTTGTCCACTCGGAATTTGAAGTCTCCGTTCTTGTTGATCTCCCCGCTAACCACGACACTTGCGTCTTCACCGTTCAACGATACTTGGTACGTGTTCTTGGACAAGCACTTGACAGTCACGGGCGCTTCATCGTCGTCGTGACTTAGCTGAAGCTTTCGCTCGAGCGTTTCCAGCGATCGGAAGTGTGCTAGAGAATCGTCCGACCAAGGCGAGTGCAGCTCGGTACTGGAGTTCCCAGTTGGGCGACGCTTAAGCTGCTCGAGAAGAAGCAAGCTCACAGCACCAAGAGCCTTGGTGTAGGACGGATACGCTCCCAGAGATCCCAGCACATCGTCACCGTACTTGTTAAGGAAACTTGTGTCGACGCCGCCCTTCCGGAACGCAGCGTGGTCGGCCGTACGAGCAACGAACTCGATATTTGTGGGCAGACCCACAATCTGGTACTCGTGGAGCGCCTTGACCATCGTGTCCAGCGCAGCCTGACGGTTGTCGCCGTGCACAATCAGCTTTGCGATCATGGGATCGTAGAAAATGGACACTTCGTCTCCTTGGATAATTCCGGTGTCCACGCGGACGTCCTTCGATGTATTAGGCAAACGAATGTGCTGCAACGTTCCGCTCCCGGGGAGGAAATCACTGTGATAACACAAAACCAACAGGTTAGACCAGTTTACCACTAAGATAATCGACTCACAACGTACTTGTAGGGGTTTTCGGCGTAGATACGTGCCTCGACGGCGTGGCCGTGGATCTTCAGGTCTTCCTGGCGGATCGGCAGCTTCTGACCCGCAGCAACCTTCAGCTGCAGCTCAACCAGATCCTGCTTGGTGATCATCTCGGTGACGGGGTGTTCAACTTGCAGTCGCGTGTTCATCTCCATGAAGTAGAAGGACTCGTCCTCGTCCAGCAGGAACTCGACCGTTCCCGCGCCAACATAGCCCACGGCCTTGGCGGCTGCGACTGCTGCGTCTCCCATCTTCTTGCGCAAGGCCTCCGACATATTAGGCTGTTGACACACGCACAATACCAAGTCAGTAAAACAGTACTAACATGTACAGTGGCAGCACCACCAGAAACTCACAGCCGGGGCCTCCTCTAGCACTTTCTGGTGTCGTCGCTGCACACTGCAGTCGCGCTCGAAGAGGTGGATGACGTTTCCGTGCTTGTCTCCGAAGATCTGGAGCTCTACGTGCCTGGGCTTCCTCAGGTACTTCTCGATCAGCACGCGTCCGTCTCCGAAGGACGCCTGGCCCTCCCTCACGCAGGCGTCCAGGGCGTCCTGGAAGTCCTTGTCTTCATCCACGATCCTCATGCCCTTGCCTCCACCGCCCAGCACGGCCTTGATGAGCACCGGGTAGCCGATCTTCCTGGCCTCGCTCTGCAGCGTCTCGAAGCTCTGGTCCTCTCCGTGGTAGCCGGGCGTCACGGGCACGCCCGCCTTGATCATGATGTCCTTGGACGCGCTCTTGGAGCCCATGTCCTCGATGGCGCTGACCGGTGGGCCGATGAACTCGACGCCCGCCTCCTGGCACGCGCGCGCGAACGCCGCGTTCTCCGACAGGAAGCCGTAGCCCGGGTGCACGGCCTCGGCCCCGGAGAGGCGGCAGATCTCGAGGATCTTGGCGTAGTTGAGGTAGCTCTCGGCGGCGGGCGCCGGGCCCAGCCGGTAGGCCTCCGTGGCCAGCTTGACGTGCTGCGAGTCGGCGTCCGCGTCGCTGTAGACGGCCACCGTCTCGATGTTGAGCTTCTGCGCCGAGCGCAGCACGCGCAGCGCGATCTCGCCGCGGTTGGCCACGAGGATCTTGCGGAAGCCGCGCGTGGACGTGGACGTGGTCGTGGAGAGCGCGCGCGCGCCGCGCAGGACGGCGCGCTGGAGGGGGCGGAGGCGCAGCATTGCCGGACACGCGGAGAGCTGCGGAATGACACACCGGGATCCCCCACGACCGGCTGCTTACGGTACGGTGGGTGAAAGTTGAAGTTTTAAACTTCAACTAAGGCTTAAGGATAGGACACGGGTGTGATTGGACGAGGGGAAATTACCAGAAAGTGAACAGCATCTACGTCCACCTATTGGTGGAGAAAGTAACGGCGAGTTGTGATTGGAGGACAATATCACGAAAGACGCATCACCATTCGGCTGTGTACGTGGCGAGAAGTGCCTGGTCGATCGTCGGACAGGGGATGCCGGCGGTGCGCAGCAGCTCGGCCGAGAGCGCGGAGTCGAAGACCTTGTCGCTCTGGAAGTAGACTTCAAAGGAGTCAATCCCGGCGGCCAATTTCTGCAGCTCCAGCGGGGCGTCGTCCTTGGCCGCCAATTGCTGTAGGCTGCGCTTCCAGTCCGCGTACTCGGCTGCGGCCAGCGACTGCGACTGCGCCTTGCTGCTCAGTGCTGCAGTGAAGAACTGGAAGAACGCGTCGCTCTTGACGGGCAGCGCCGGGTTCTGGATGTGCAGCGTTTGGCCCAGCGCCTCCACCGGACGCAGCGCCGCGAAGTGCACGATGGCACGCGCGGCGTAGTCCACGGGGGTCATGTCGAAGAACCAGTCGGAGCGAGCGGGCACAGCCCCGAGACTTGCGCAGCCCTTGAGCAGGAGGTAGATGAAGTCGCTGGCGTTCCACTGGCCCGTGAGAGAGGACGGAGCCATGTTGCCCGGCCGCAGGATCGACACCGGCAGGCCGCGCTGCGCCGCCTCGTGACACATCTGCTCGGCCACCCACTTGCTCTGCGCGTAGCCATTCTCAAGCTGGTCCGAGAGCTCACTCAGGTCCGCAGTCTCCAAGAACTTGGGCGCCGCTAGCGTGGACGGGAACACACCGTTGGTCGAGATGTAGTGCACGGGCTTCACGCGGGTCTTGGACAGTCCGTTGGTCACGGCGAGACGCAGCACCTCCTGCGTGCCCAGCACGTTCACGCTCTTGAGAGCCGAGTAGGGCTTCACCAGGTTGACGTCTGCACCGTTGTGCAAGATCGCGTCGATCTCAGTCGCCAGCACCTTGAAGTTGTCCGCATCCAGACCAAGCAACGGCTGCGCGAGGTTGCCCGGGACAGGCACCACGCGGTCCTCCAAGTGGAACTTCTGCGCTTCGTCAAGCAGGGAGAAATCCTTGAGCGCTGCCTTGATGCGCTCCATCGCCGCATCTTCGTCGGCCGCTCGAACCAAGCAGAACACGACGCTTGTTGAGTACTTGAGCAGGGCGTGCAGCAGGTGAACACCGAGGAATCCAGTCGCTCCCGTCAAAAAAATGTTCCGCGGAGGAAGACTCACCATTTCCACACGGTAGCGACTGTAGCCAGCCTTACGCGTCGGGGCCGGGTAGATCGACGCATCGAGCACAGCTTCCAACGGTAGAACCACCTTCTTCTCTGCCTTCACAGGGGCAGCGCTGGTCTCACTCGTTTCGCTCAACGACTGATCGATTCGCGACGCGATGGCACACAACTCCGGTGAAGAGAGAATGTCCGCCAGCGTCAACTGAACCCCGAATGTATCACGGATGCTTGAAACCAGTCGGGTGGAGAGTAAGCTGTGACCTCCAACGTCGAAGAAGCTGGCCTCGCGGTGCAGCACGCTGTCGTTTTCGAGACGAAGGAGGTCCGACCAAATGGACGCAAGCTTCTTCTCCGTCTCTGTCTGGGGTAGATTCTTCGGGTCCACCGATAGATCAATGGATTCGTTGCGTAGCTTCTTGGCCTGCTCAATCGACGGCATCTTCTTACGGTCCAACTTGCCACTTGCACTGTTGATTGGAAGCGCATCGAGCTGCACGAACACAGACGGGATCGCATAGTGCGGGAGCTTTTCCTTCAGGAACTCACGAAGATTCGAGGCGCTCGGCACCTTCTCCCAGTCCTCTGGCACGATATACGCGACTAAGCGCTTGTCTTCGCCCTCGTCACCTTCCGTGAGCACCACAGACGTAGATACCAGAGGATGTTGCGCCAAGGCTGACTCGACAGCGCCAAGCACCACGCTGTATCCTCGAATCTTCACCATGAAGTCGCAACGTCCGATCAGCTCCAGGTGGCCATTCGGCAAGAAGCGAGCACGATCACCGGTCCTGTACACAGTCTCTCCGGGCACGACGTGTTTGAGGAAGCGTTGAGCCGTTTGCTCCGGGCGGTTGAGGTACCCGATAGCCAAACAGGGTCCACCGATATACAGCTCTCCTGGCACTCCCACGGACACAGGCTTGAAGTCGTCGTCGAGCACGTACGCCTTCACGTTGGGCATAACTTCACCACAGGAGGCATACTTCGTAGACAGCGAATTGTCGAAGTCGCTCATCGCAGCTAGGTCCACCGCGCTCACGTCATGACACTCAGAGACGCTGTAGAGGTTCTGCAGCTCGCACTTCGGGAAGAGACGAACAAAACGATCGCGCAGCTCCAGCGTCACCACTTCACCGCAGAGCCACACCAAGCGCAACTTTGACAGCTTCTGCAGCAATACCTCCTTTGAGCAGGTGTCAAGAATCAACTGCAGGAGCGACGGTGTGAATAGGATGCGCGTAATACTGTGCGTGTGGAGGTAGTCGACCAGCTTGATGGGGTCGTAGATGGTGTTGTCAGGGATGACGTATAGAGGACGGTTTCCAAGCATCGGACGCAGGAGCTCCCACACGAAGAAGACGTGACAGGCAACTCGATCGTCTTCCTTATAGGGGCAATGAGTCAGACGCCAGTCGTAGGAGTGAACGGCGCCGCGATGAGGGCAGCAAATGCCCTTCGGTACTCCAGTGGTTCCCGAAGACATGACGACATAGGCTAGATCATCCGGGTGCGTCCGCGTGCGATCCAATGGCATCGACGGGATGTTTTGGCGAGCGAGAGACTCAAGCCAGCCGTCGTCCAGTTCAAGTGCCTGCTGCCACCCCGGCAAACGGTTGCGGAACTTCTTTTTGGTCAGTACAATGACCGGCTTGGACTCTTCCATGACGCGCTCGAGGAGATCCGGAGGATACACGATCTCCAGCGGCATGTAGGCACCTCCAGCTTTCAGCGCTGCGATGTACGCGATCACAAACTCGATGCAATGCTCCATGAAGATTCCCGAGATGCAGCCAGGACGCACTCCAGCTTGGAACAAGTAGTCAGCGAGCTTTTCACTCTGCTCGTCCACTTCACGGAAGGTCAGCGTCTTGTCCTCGTAGTAGACCGCGACCGCATCAGGCGTGCGCTTCGCAGCATCTGCGAACATGTCGTGCAAGCACTTCTCGGACGGATACGGCCCCATCTTGGAGTTCAGCCCATCAATGAGTGTGCGCGACTCCATCACGACAATGGCACTCACAGCCTCCAGCTTGGCGATGAAGGACCTGGCGAACGCCTCCTGGCTCTCCGCGCTCGTCAAATAGAAGTGTCCGCCCGGGAAAAGCTTGACGTCGAACTCGCTGCCTTCCCCACACACGTCCTTCCACTGCGTCAAAGAATCCTTCGGCGCCGCAGGATCCTCGGAGCCCCCGAACACCGTCACGTCAGAGCGGATCTTCACCTCCGTTTGCTGCTTGAACCAGTGCACGACGCTGTTGTGCAGCTTCAGATCCGCACGCAGAGCTGTGAGTAGCTTCTGCTTCTGCTCGGGGATGGCCAGCACCTCCTGGTCGGTGCCTCCCCACTGCTGCAGCAGCTTGAGCAGCTCACCATCGTGCTGCAGCACCCCCACGTCGTCATACAGCGTCCAGCTGCCAGGCCCCGCCGCCCCCGAGAGGAAAACGTGGCGGGGCGTCGAGAACTGCCGCTGCTCCAGGTAGTGCGCGAGCGCGAGCGCCACCAGCGCGCCCAGACTGTGGCCTGCCAGCACGAAGGGCTTGCCGAAGAAGCCGCTGCTCAGCTGCGCGCAGATGGCGGCCACGAGCTCCGCGCGCGTGGACGCTGCTTCTCCCTCGGGCGCCCAGTCGACGCCCCACAGCTCGACGTTCAGCCCCGCCGCGCGGAAGCTCTTGCCCCACTCGAGCGCCAGCGTGCGCGAGGCGCTGCCCGCGTGGGGCAGCACCAGCACGCGCAGCGGAGCCGCCTCCGCCTCTTGGAAGCACGTCGCGGTCACTCTCGGCGCCATGCTCCAGTCAGTCACTTCTTGGTGGCGGCGGGTGGGGGAATGGCTGAATGAGCTGACGTGGACGAAGGTCGAGCGTGACGACGTGGAGAAGTGAAGCCATCTCGGTCAGCGTAACCTTTCCCAGCTCTTGATTCGTGCGGTGAATGGGAAAATCGGCAAACTATCGGCTTAGACAGGGCGGAATTTCGTGTTTGGTTGAACACGCGGCACGGAATTTCGTGTTTCGCCTAAGGAGCTCTAGCTAACCCTTGTGCGTAGCTAGCTGGCTCGTGGGCCTGTAATAGCGCCGTGTTGAACGGCAGGAGTCCGCGATGAAGGCGTCACTACTGTGTATTGCAGGCCTAGAACAACATCTCGACGACGTTCTTTGATGGCGATTGTCTATTCTCGGCGAGACGATCTATTTCGGATGGGCTTGAAAAATGCAGATTGGCAGCACTGGTTCTTGAGCACCACGGGGAGGTCGGCAGCTCTGTCCCGCGTGGTGGTGTACGTCGGTCGAGTATGGCCGAAGAAGACACGGTAAGGTTCAATGTGTTTGCTTGCAGGTCACTCGAAAGTCTCCGCTAATAATTCTGTATTTATGAAAGCCTCAGGACGCCGCGTACTCCGACGAGGAGTTTAGTTCGGATGAAGACAACGGCGACTACGAGGAGTTCGCTGATGAAGACGCAGAGATTAATGAGAAACAAGATGCAGTCGAGCACGAGAAAGCAGCGGAGGAGGGCGAAGAGGATGCAGATGACTATGACGCTGAGTTCGATGAGGACGGTCCAGTGGTAACAACGGCTGGACCACCACTAATTGAGACTTCTGAGCTACCAATTGAGCCTACTACCACAGATGCGGATGACAAAGAGATTGCTTCACGAGATGACGCAGAGCTCTATGACGGTGAGTTTGATGAAGACTCAACAGTATTTGATGCTGAACCACCACCAGAAAAGAAGAATGAGGTTGCCGGTGAAGAAACACCCGCCACCGCCGACATGACACAGATTGAGGCTTTGATTGCACCAAAAGCCGATATACTCATGAATCACGACCAAGCGAACGCAGTCGACGACAACGAAGCTGAGTACTCGGTCGATTCGGAGGACGAAGGCGCACCAGCACTACCAGAGCCAACTATCCTTCCCAGAACCTTGAGCGAGGAAAGTGTGAGCCCTCGTAGATCAAGTGTGCCGACTTCAGTAATCGCTCGACTGACTGAAGATTTCCCGCCAAAAGCTCGATTTGGTAGCATGCCGCTCGTGCTGTCAGCAGCACCAGTGGACAAGTGGATGGACTCAATTCCGCTGGATTTATCCCCCGAGAGATACGACCGGTCCCGAAAGCAAAGTGCCTGCTTTCCAGTTCAAGAAGAGACTCAACAACAAAACCTGGCCGAAGAGGAAAACAGTACGGACGACGCAGAAAATGATACCCAGGATGATGGTAACGCTGCCGTACCAAACGCTGTAAGATCTAACGCGCGAGCACAATCCTACCGAGATCTACAGAGTGAGAAGGTGGTAATTCCTGTACGAAGGACACAGTCGCTACTGTATACAGGATCCTTACCTTGTGTTGAAGAGATTCAACCGTCTGAAGAGGTGGCAGATCCGCCTCAGAGCCAAGAAGGTGACGAAACCTACAGCGATGATAATGGAAGTGGTGGCGAAGCAAGCCACGACAGCTTTGAAAGTGACCATGAAAACGACGATGCTCAACCAACGCTGCCTGAACGTCCGAAGAGTGGGCCAAGCTCCGCCTTGTATGATCTACCTGACCATGAGGTCACTCCGAAGACTAACGAAGAGGAGTTTACTGGCGATGTCGATAAATACTCACCTGCGGTGCAGACGCCAGATAGAGCGCCGACCCCAGAGCATGTGGACCCACCACAGAGTAACAAGTACGACGACGACTACGCTGACGAGATGGACGACGAATTTGCCAGTGATTCCGAAGTACCTCAGTTTGATGGGGAAAACACCCCGCAGAAATCGAGCAGCGAGGCAAGCGACTATGATGTCGACGAATTCATCGAAGACGGACGACGCGAAACTGAAACTTTACTCCAAGAAGCTCGTACGCTACTTGAACTGCAGCAAAAAGAGAGCGAACCTCACACTTCAGCATCCGAGCAACAAAATGATGGGCCGGATCCTGCAGAACAAGCAGCGGGCAATGGAGAAGAACCTACAGAGCAGCCAGCCGTGAAGGAGGGGAAAACCGAGGGAACTGGAGATGAGATAGTCGCCACGATGTACGATGACGACGATGAATTTGATACCGACACCCCACGGCAGCCAACCCCAGAGCAGGACGCTGATGCCGATAATGACGGAGTTGGGCAGTATGAGCTCGATAACGATGAATTCGAGACTCAAGACTTGGAGATACCCCAAGTCGAGGTAAAGACGACCGTCGAGAACTTGGGCAAGGTCGATTCAGAGAAGGTCGTTGATGCAGACGTGCATCAGGATGCTAAGATGTCTGAATCATTACAGTCCGCCTGTGAAGCTGACAACGACGCAACCAAAACTGACAGCAGGACGCCACTGAATGAATCATTGCAGCCCAAACTTGACGAAGTTGCGATTAATGCTGAAAGCGCGACACCAACACCAGTGTCTGAAACATTGCAGCCCATAAGTGGAGCCAGCAATACTGCAGTCAAAGCGGAAAACGAGATACCAGCGCTGGAGCCACCGAGTGAACAACCAGCTTTGAATACTGACGCAACAGAGGTTGAAGCATTCCCCGGTCAAGCTACTGAAGACGCACTACCGACTAAAGCCCAGGTAACCGTTGTGGCCAAGAATGAGAAAAAGCAAGCCTTAACGGAGTCGAAGCGGCGTGAACCAGGGCAAACACCAGCTCGGCCAGCTCGTCCCGTTAAAAACGCGAGCCGAGCTACAACACAACCGTCTCCACCTATAAAGCCGACACGCCCAGCAACGAATCGAACACCGGCCCCTCCTTCAGCACCGCACCCTTTATCGGCAACAGATAAAAAGCCCACCACTACACCGCGGTCGTCTCGTACCAGGTTAAAGCCCTCCACGGTTGATCACCAGGTATCACTAACGAATCCAGCCGAATACAATACGGAAAGTAAAACTGCAACAACGAGTGATCAAGCGCCACAGACACAGGTAAGCCCCTCTAAACGGAGGCCAAAGGTCTCGTCGCCGCGGTCTCCTTCAAAACCCCCTTCTGCGTCATACCAATACCTGCCTAACGAGTATCCGCAACTCCCTCGGAAAGCACCCGTACCAAGACAGAAGGCTAAGCCCTCCACCAGCGGAGAACACGGAGGCAAACGCCGGTTGCTTCAGCCTGTGAGGACGCCCGCCAACCTGCGCTTCGACCTCCCGAAGATGGACAAGACAAAACGCGACTGGCTGTTTGCCAACATGTTCCGCCACGGCGACGACCTGACCAAATACGAGTCGTTTGTGCCGCCGACACTGCGGGCCAGACCCCCGACGTCCAGCAACCTGAAGGAGACCAAGAAGCGGCCGCTGTCAGCCAGGCAAGTGTATGGGGATCCGCAGCCATTCCGATTTGTGTCGCCTAGTCGGAGACTCGTCCAGCAACCGAACCCTGCGCTTCAGGACCGAGAGCGTAACTGGGTGCCCACGACGCCCCACGACTCGAAGCTCCCGCCGTACGACTCCATCCTGGACAAATACTGCACCACAGTCACGAGTCCTGTGGTCCAGCGCCAGATCTACCAGACTAGGCACCGAGACCTGTCCCCCCAGTTGGCCTTTGTGCTGGAGAAGCGCGTTGAGAAGCACTGCCGCAAGGGCTTCTACGACTCGTTCGGCGGGGTCAGCTCGTCCTACAAGACTGAGATTGTGCCGACATCGCCTGTAGACGGATCGAGGCAGCGACAAACGTCCCCGCGGTCCCCAACCAAGTCGGAGATGCTACCAACAACAAGCCCCACCTCGGCCCCCGAGGATAAGTTGTAATGGACTGAAGTTGAAGTGAACAACCAATCGGATTGATTCGTTTTTGTGCTACCAGGTAGACATTTGCCAAGATTACTACAGCTGTTTGGCGAACTGAACTGTACAGTCTGTACACATCGCGTTAATCGCCGTTGAGCAGCCTGACTAAAGCAACCTGGACAGCTCAGCAGCTCGCCACGAGAGTCGATGGCAGTCAATGGCAGGAAGAACGCTGCAGACTGCAGCCTGCAGTACCAGGGCGGCTTGACTGAGAATAGTAGTCTGCGATGCACTTTAAGAAATGGCTGCGGATAGTCCGCGAAGTGACCACCGTGGATGGGGCGAAGACGGGCGAGGGGCAACAGGACCCGCGCTGGCCATTTCAGCTGGGTGCTTGCAATGCTCGAGCTGACTTGCCCGAAGATGGCACCACAAGAATGCCTCTGGCAGCGAGCGGTGCTGCAATGCCTGCCAAGTCGCCGCTCGCATGATCTCTGCACGATAACTCCCTTAAGTTTACACACAACGGCGGCTCAGCCAGGTAAGCCAAGCTCGACTACTGGTAAGTTTGACCAAGCAGAATTTTCCTGCATCGGCACCGCCAGGCTCAAGAAAAAGCGGGTCAATGCCATTGCTGCCGACGGACCCGGTGCCAACACAGCTAATACCGGTCACGGTATGATTCATGAGGCGCATTAGGCCTCGAGCGGCTCGAGGCTCGAGTCGAGCCATTGCATTACCCGAGCTGACGTGACCCAATGCGACTGAGCCCCTGTTTTGATTGGCCAGAAGGTGCTCGCAAAAATGAATTGCAGCTCATTTTGAATTGCAGCCTTTCAATCCCCCTCCGACCCTCACAACCGAATCACCAAGACTCCGCCCGAGTGTGCTGCTTGTGTGCTCCCGTCCTCCGAGCGTATGGACCAGCGCAACTACGGCATCCCCGCCGGCCGCGGGGTTCTGCCCGGCGGCCTGCCCCAGCAACAGCAGCAGCAGCAGCGCGCGCCGCAGCCGGGCATGCAGCAGCACTACGGCATGCAGGACATGATGTTCGACCCGCTGTCCATGAGCAACGGCATGTACCACCAGGCGCCGCCCCTCGGCGGCCAGATGATGCACCAGCAGCACCCAGGCCCGCGTGCGGGAGGTATGCAGGCCCTCGGAGGCCTCATGCCGCAGCAGGGGATGGTCGCGCCGGAAGACGACCTGGACGACCTCATGAGCGCGCTGGGGGACCCCGTGGGCATGAACGCGCAGCAGCAGCAGAGCATGGGCCACATGCCCAGCCACGTCTACAACCAGTCGCACCTCGTGCCGCCGCGCTCGCAGGCGCCCACCCTCCAGGCGGGACGCACGCAGGGCCTGCCGCTCCCCAGTCAGGCTCCCCCGATGCAACAGGGGATGCCTGGCTCCATGCACATGAACCAAATGGCCCCTAATGCTGGTGCCCGCATGGGCGGCGTTGGCCTCCAACAACAGGGAATGGGAGCTCCGCCTGCGACGTCGAGTATCGGCGGCCTCGGTGGCCTCGCGGCCAGCATCCCAGCCCCCACTGCCCCTCGTCAGGCTGCTGTAGCACCAAGCGCGATCGTTCCCACCTCAACCAAGTCCTCGACCAGCTCGCGCGCACTGGCCACATCCAGTAACAACGGCGGAAGCAGTGACGAAGACGCAGGTATGGGTGAAGACGACGCCCAGAAGAAGAAGGAGCGCCGCCGCCAGCAGGTCCGCTACGCGTCGCGTCGTCGCCGCAAAAAACAGAAGGACGAGGAGAGCTTCCTGCGCGACCGCATCGCGGAGCTGAAGGAGCAGATCCGCATCATCGGCGGCGACCTGACGGAGCAGTGCTCGCAGATGGCGGGCATGAGCGAGCAGGCGCTGACGGAGGCGTACGAGAAGCAGATGCAGACGGTGCAGACGCTGCGCAAGGACAACAACAAGCTGAAGGAGCAGCTGCTGCAGCACGAGAACTTCGCGCGCATGATCCAGTACGGTCTGAACGCGCTGCCGAGCGACTGCCGCGACGTGGACCGCAAGAAGATCGCGGGTGTCCCGATGTGGATCAGCGACCAGATGAACCCTCTGAAGGGTCCGACGCTGGTGGTGGACCTGAACCTGTGCCACGAGGCTGTGCGTCACGCGTACAATGAGCTGAAGACGTTCGGTCCGACGGTGAACTCGAAGACGAACGTGTGCTATGCTATGGGCTGGAAGACGGAGCTGTGGGCTGCGAGCACGTGCCTCAACTTCCGCGCTGTTCGATCCATCTCTGATAAGAACATCCGTGAGGTTGCCGACGCTTCCTGGGAGATTATTACCTCTCCAGACAAGTTCAAGCGCATTTACCCGGACGTGAAGCAGTTCCGTATCCTGCAGAAGGTGACGGACGATATTGTGGTGGTGCACCGTATTGCGTCCGTAGCTTCGGATATGTCGGATCGCGAGTTCATTTCTGTGGCCTTCCGATTCCGTGATGGAGACAACTACTTCATTGGTATTAAATCTATCACCGTGCAGACTGAGGCTGCTGAGAACTGTATTCGTGGCGAGGAGTGCCAGGGCTGGATGTTTGTCGGCGGAGAGAACGAGACGTCGCAGTGGAAGGCGCACTTCCTGGGCTACTACGACGTCAAGGGCGAGAAGGACGACAAGGTGCTGAACCAGCTCGCGAACGAGGCGATGTTCGGAATGCTGAGATGGGAGAGCGAGGCCATGCACCCGCTGAGCGTTTAAAGCGGCAGTTGTTCCTGTTTTTGGGGTGGCCCTCTTTGCCAGCTATGGAGCGCTAGGCAGAGAGCGCTATTGCCAGGTCAAAGACTTGCAGTAAGCGCTGTAAGTCGTCAGCACACCTGCGCACCATTCGAGAGTGCTGCAGGTCTTGAGTACTTGCATATGAAACAATTGGCGGGAACCCGGGTACCCATCGGGACCCCGGTTCCCCCAAAACTACCGGTACCCATGTATGGTCAAATGTATTGGAGTGTTGGTCTATGACCTACGTTGAACGTAGCTTAAGCTCGGTAGAGAAACGGAAGGTGAATTCGTCTTCGCTCCCGTCCTGTGTCTCTCCATGAAAATCCAGACTCTCCCCTGGTAGAGCGGTAGAGGGCTTTCCGGCCACATCGCTAACCTCCTGCTCACATAAGGTGGACTTTGACATGGTAAGGTACGGTATTCGGCTCTACTCAGTACCGGTGACAGATTTGTGGTTCTCATTCGTTGACAGCACTTGGATTTGATGGTTTAACTTGCCCCAACGGTACCAATATGGGGCCGAAAATAAAATAAATAATTCGCGATTTGGTTGGTATCATTTGCGGGAACCCGGGTTCCCGCCAATTGTTTCATATAACCTGTGTCGGAAATATAAGAAAAGAAAAAAATGGTCAGCCCTTGAGCTTTCGTAGTGACAGGAAAGATATACACTATTATCCTGGACCTGTTCGACCTCTTTATAGTAGGCATTAGTATAGCATCGCCCAACCCGCTTCAAGCCTCACAAACTTTAATTCGTCACGAATATATTCCCAGTTACAGGTAACGTTCAGGAGACATCGAAATCGCAATTAGCGATGGTACAAAAACTTCTCAAAACAAAACACTTCTTTGGAAGTTTTTCGCTCTTCACAAGTTTTAAGAAAGTAGGCAAACATTTGTTCGTTTCAATTTGACTAGAATATCATTTCGTACTTCTCCAGTTGCACATTACCGGCAGATGCTGCGGCTGCGAAGCAGGCGCAGTAGATGGCCGTAGTTATCATCAACTAACCGTGCTTCTTGACTCAAATTTTGTTCTAGGTTAGATTTTGTGCTACTAAACCGCCATCCACAGGCGTCTCCTGCGTCTGTTTCGCAGCATCTGCCTGCCTCCGACTGCTAGGGTTCTCGAAAGCTGCAGTATGCGTAGTTCCACAGGCAGTTCACCAACTACTGCACCGACCTCTAAAGAATATACAACAGGTTCGATACAAACGCGAATTAGAAGTAAACGCGTCGACTTTCAAAGAGTTTTAGATTGCGGAGGGCTGCATCTGAACATCTTTAGTGTAAACTATCTGTCTGTGAACAACCATGCAGAACTTTCACTTCCACGATAAAAAACACTAAGTAGAAAATTGGTCTCCCAGCCAAAGCGCAGCAACCTTGTCTTGTATCGGTGCTCACTGTTCGCGATGCAGCACTCGGCGGTGCTGCAAATAGTCTCCGTGCCACGCTGACGAGCCTGCGGGCATCGAGGCCGCCCGCTGCAACCGATCGAGCCTGCCACGCGAAATAATTTGTTGCTGATAAATTTGCCGCTGACCCAACAAAAGGCGACGGTACAGTAATTCCTGTCAAGGGCTTCACGTGGCGGAATTCGTCTACAGTTTTTGGGTGGTCGGACTTGCTTGCTCACGATCGTCAATGACGATCCGCTGCTTGCAACCTCGACTCGGACAGTAATAGAATCAACGACAGCGTTTCGGCTAACGCAGCGCCCTCCACTCTAGTCGCCACGGTATCATCAAGGGGGCTCGATGCACCGTGGCCCCACGTTGCGGCCACTGCAATCGTTACCCTTTGCGCAACGCAAGGGCAGTGCCTCCCATGCACTGGACCCAATAGACTGTATTACATGTAGCTAATGCACATGCGGGCTCCGCGGATCCTGAGCTTCTCGTAGCGGATGAGAGCAACGCGGACGAAGACGCTTGCACTTGTGCCGTGTACAGTACCCCGACGTACTGTACCCCTCCTGTACCAAACAGATTGAGTCATTCTGAGGCCGGACTGGCTATAGCGCTGCTGCGCCAGACTGGACGGGCGCAATAGCCTCTATCCGATTTTGCCGCTGGCGGGAGCTGAGGACTCGGGAGGGCGAGCCCAGACGCCAAAGGACCAAGAAATCTTGCTGCTGGCATGCATACATGTTCTGTATGTCTGCACTGCACGGCTCTTTCTCAGTGTTGAGCTTTGCTGACGGCGTCGGTCGGTCGGTTGCCCTATGTCTTTGTATCCTCGGAAGGATGTGCACCCGCTCCCATGCGTGGCAACCAGGCTTGTCGTTACCGTACAGCTCTGCTGCCTGCGATCGAACGGCCAGCGCACGCCAGCCATCGCATCCGCGGCCAGCATCAACCTGCACATGCTGTACTAGCACACGCTGATTCACCGCCGCAAGACGCGAGCCAAGCCCGAGTGCTCCAGTCGAGCAACAGGCAGCATGAATCACCAACCTCTTCTCGAACTCAAGCTAGCTCGAGCCAGAAAGGTGTACCGTCGGCGCCCATCTCTTCGCCGGTCATCTGGCGAGCTTCCATTGGTCGAAATCCGGCCAAATGAATTGCAAATGAATTGCAGCCGCCCAGCCCAGACGCGGGAGAAGGCAACGCCAGCAGCACATTCCAATCTGCCAGCAACGCGGAGGAAGCAGCTCTCTTCCCCCCACAGCCAGGCACTGAAGCTCGCGCCGCGATGGACCAGCGCAGCAACCCGTACGGCATGCGGCCCGGCATGCCCAACGGGATGCCCCAGCAGCAGCAGCAGCAGCGCGCGCCGCAGCCGGGCATGCAGCAGCACTACACCATGCAGGACATAATGTTCGACCCGCTGCCCATGAACAACGGCCTGTACCACCCGCCGCCGCCCATGCACCAGCAGCACGCGGGTATGGGCATGATGCAGCAGTCAGGAATGGTGGCGCCCGAGGACGACCCGCGCTTCGTGGACGACCTGCTGGGCGCGCTCAGCAACGACCCCGTCGGACTCGGCCAGCAGCAGCAGCAGCACCTCGGCCAGATGCCCAGCCACGTCTACGACCAGCAGCACATGATGCCGCCGCACTCGCAGGCGCCGAGCCTGCAGCCCGGACGCACGCAGGGCATGCCCATGACGAGCCAGGCGCCGCCCATGCAGCAGAGCGGCATGCCCGGCTCCATGCATATGAACCAGATGACGCCCAACGGCGTAGCCAACGGCGCGCGCATGGGCGTCGGCGGCATGCAACCGCCAAGCATGGGTGCGCCCGCTGTCTCGTCGGGACTCGGAACACTTGGAGGCCTAAACGCCAACATCCCAGCCCCCACTGCCCCTCGTCCGGCTGCTGTAGCACCAAGCGCGATCGTTCCCACCTCAACCAAGTCCTCGACCAGCTCGCGCGCACTGGCCACATCCAGTAACAACGGCGGAAGCAGTGACGAAGACGCAGGTATGGGTGAAGACGACGCCCAGAAGAAGAAGGAGCGCCGCCGCCAGCAGGTCCGCTACGCGTCGCGTCGCCGCCGCAAAAAACAGAAGGACGAGGAGAGCTTCCTGCGCGACCGCATCGCGGAGCTGAAGGAGCAGATCCGCATCATCGGCGGCGACCTGACGGAGCAGTGCTCGCAGATGGCGGGCATGAGCGAGCAGGCGCTGACGGAGGCGTACGAGAAGCAGATGCAGACGGTGCAGACGCTGCGCAAGGACAACAACAAGCTGAAGGAGCAGCTGCTGCAGCACGAGAACTTCGCGCGCATGATCCAGTACGGTCTGAACGCGCTGCCGAGCGACTGCCGCGACGTGGACCGCAAGAAGATCGCGGGTGTCCCGATGTGGATCAGCGACCAGATGAACCCTCTGAAGGGTCCGACGCTGGTGGTGGACCTGAACCTGTGCCACGAGGCTGTGCGTCACGCGTACAATGAGCTGAAGACGTTCGGTCCGACGGTGAACTCGAAGACGAACGTGTGCTATGCTATGGGCTGGAAGACGGAGCTGTGGGCGGCGAGCACGTGCCTCAACTTCCGCGCCATGCGCTCTATTAGCGACAAGAACATTCGCGAAGTCGCGAATGCCTCGTGGGATATCATCACGTCACCGGAGAAGTGCAAGCGCATTTACCCGGACGTGAAGCAGTTCCGTATCCTGCAGAAGGTGACGGACGATATTGTGGTGGTGCACCGCATTGCCTCGGTTGCATCCGACATGTCCGACCGTGAGTTTATCAGCGTGGCGTTCCGGTTGCGTGATGGCGATGACTACTACATCGGCCTGAAATCCATTACGGTTCAGACCGAGGCCGCTGAGAACTGCATCCGGGGTGAGGAGTGCCAGGGCTGGATGTTCATTGGTGGTGAGAACGAGACGTCGCAGTGGAAGGCGCACTTCCTGGGCTACTACGACGTCAAGGGTGAGAAGGACGACAAGGTGCTGAATCAGCTCGCGAACGAGGCGATGTTCGGAATGCTGAGATGGGAGAGCGAGGCCATGCACCCGCTCAGTGTGTAGCGCTCCAACCGCCAGTTCAAGGCTAACATCGGCGACATCGATCGTCAGACCAAATCTCCAACTATCCGTCCGTGTGTATGTGCAGATCTGCAGCTCAACTGCGTCATCGAAGATTGCAGGCCGGTAGTGTCACCTCAAGTGTCCAGCAACCACAATCTTGCATCTCGGGAACAGACACAGATCGCCAAACTTGCATCATGCGGCACTTGCTTTCAGAGCCTCCTGCCTTCAATATATCAAAGTATCGTTTCCCACTATGATATTCGACGCCGCACTCTAATCTGCATCCTGCACTGACAAAGTGAAGCGAGGCTAACACTTTCAAAACAAACAACGGGGAGGTAGCTGTGTGTGTCTAAGTATCTATTCACAATGTGAAATGCTAACTAAAGGCCTGCTATCACTGTAGTGGTTTGTCTGTCTATCCGCTGGGCTGGGCTGGCAAGTCTAAAGGTACATGTGCTTGTTCCTGGGCTTGGGCAGCGGGGTCCACGTGACGTCAAACGGACGAAGCTTCTCTCCGAGCGCCTTCTGCTCTTCTGTCAGGTTTTCTTCGGATTCGCGCCACGCCTTGAAATACTCCTCGAGGGCTTCTGTCACCACATGTACGTCCTTGCTGGTCTTCTTCACGTACACCTCGTCCTCTTCGTCAGCATCTTCGTCTTCATCATCGATATCATCATCTTCTTCCTCATCCTCTTCATCGGGGACGCCAAAGACTATCGTCTCTTCCTCATTCTGATCAGCAGCCTCGTCCTCCTGTGCTACGGGCTCTTCGCTCTCCTCCTCCTGCTCCTTCTTCTCCTGCTCCTTCCCAGCCTCCGACTTGAGCGTGTTTTGATACTTCACGAAGTCGGCAAAACGTTCCTCGTCGCGCTTCGAAAGTGGCCGACGGCACTTCATGGGGTACACGTAGTCGTGCAGCAGCTCCGCGACTTGCGCGGCCTCCACGAAGGACGGGAAGCGCAGGTCCAAGCGACCGTTAGTCAGCATAACACCGCGAGGCACCAGGCCAGAGACCTTCATGGTAAGACCGGCCTCTGCCAGGACCTGGTTCACCTCGTCGACAAGGTCTCCGACCTTGGTGCCGTAAGGAACGTTCATGAGCGTGAGACCCGCGCGGTCGTCTGCCGGAGTCGGGAACACAGGTCGGTACTCCTTGTAGCCCATCATCATCACACCGAAGATCTGCAGCGCGCGCATGTTCGCCTTACGGCACGCGCCCTCAGAGTCGAACTCCACTACGGCCTGGTACGGCGTCTTCTTGTCGCTAGCAATGATGGTGTCTTTCTTCTTCGGCTTCCGGAACATTGTCATGTCCTTGGCCTTGGCCTTCGACAGTTTTGATTTTGCCTTCGCCTTTTTCTTCTTCTTCTTCTTCTTGGGCTTGTCTTCACCGTCGCCCTCTCCACCCTCCTCGTCTTCATCCTCTTCGTCGTCATCGTCATCTTCGTCATCAGAATTCTCATCGAGCGAGTCGGGCGGGCCATTCAGAGGGTTGGCGAACAGGATGAAGCGCTTGACGCCTCCAATGTGTGCCAGTGCCTTCTCCAAGTGCTTCGGGGTTACACCATGAGGCAAATTACGGAAGAATGCGCAGCGAGAGGGCTGCCAAACGGTTTCAAGACGCTCACGACCCGCGTCGTTGAGCGGCTCCAACGCGCCGCGTCCGCGCAGCATCTTTCGGGAGTGGCGCAGCTTCACACGACAAATAGTAAGCGTCTCGACCGACAGCTGCTGGAACACTTCCTCGAACATGGGCATGATGGTCTCAGCGTCGCGAGGACCAAGAGTCTTGCGCACGTCCGACAGGAAGGTGTCGCCGAATGTGGCGCGGTTCGGTCGCCACGCGAGCTTGTACTTGAGGAAACGCGTGAAGAACATGTGGTACTTGCGGTCGTCCAGCACCGACACGATGTTCCAAGCCGTCGTGATCACCTTCTCGTGCTGCTCCGGCGTCAGCTTCTTCGAAATGGACTGATCAAGCTCCGTTTCATCGATGTCATTGATAAGAATGTGACCGACCCGCATGCGCGTCTCCAACAGAGCACGGATGATAGCCTCGTTACGCATCTGGTGGTGCTGCAGCGCAGTCGTAGCCACTTCCGAGTCGAAATCCTCGTACGTGGCGTTGTCTCCCGACAGGAACGGCACAAGCTCCGACAGTAGCTGCTCGTGGTATGTCTCCGGGAACGCCGTCTGGATGTTGCACACCATCTCCTGGAAGATCTTGCGGTGCAGCTTGGACGTCTTCACGGACGCCAGCATCGCCACGAGCATCTTGGAGATCGTCTCGTTCGAGAGCTCCGTCTTCATAAAGTCAACGATACCCTGCGTCTGCGATAGCAGCATGCGGAAATCAATGCGGTCGTTCTCCAAGTTGAACTCTTCCCACTCCGCGTCCACCGCGTCCATGTCTTCGTCGTCCTCATCCTTAGCTGGCTTCTCCAGTCCGAGCATGTCGGCGTAGTGCGAGTACCCCTCCATGTCCAGCACCTTGCGGAAGTCCGCCTTGACCTGCCACAAGCTCGACTTGGATCCACGGTTGAGTCCTGCCGCCGGCCGCTGCATGAGCTTGAGCGAGTTCAGACACGCCAGGCGGCAGTAGCAGAACACAATGCTGACGAACTGCGGGTCCGCCACCAGGTCCGGGTGCAGGCCCATGATCTTGGGCACCACAAAGTCATCCGAGGTCTCTGCAACCTGCGCGTCTGGCTCACCCAGTGGTACATCAATGCTGTCAGCCTCGGCGCCGCCCTGCCTCGAGTCGATCTCGAGCTGCTCGATGACCTCGTCGCGGCCCTGCAGGAACGCGAGCATGTAGCCGAACTCCTTCTTGTTGTTTTCGCCGAAGCGCGTCTCCAGAGAGCGCAGGAACTGCTTGCGGGACAGGCCCGTGACGCGCGGAAGCGTCGCGTACTGTGCGATGCGGTGGATGACCTTGCCGATCTCGAGCTCCGACATGGAGTGGCGCAGTACGGCCATGATCCGCTCGGCCTTGGCCTCCGCCTCGGCTCTGGTCTCCTCGCGGATGCCGTCCACCTCGCGGTGCTCGTGCAGGTTCTCGTACTCGGCGCGCTCCTTGAGCTCCGCCTCGCTGATGGGGAAGCCGATGCGCTGCGCCGTGAACTCGACGTCCTGCTGCTGGCGCTGCTCGTCGTCCTGGTACGAGGCCAGGAACTGTACGGACTCGCTCTGCAGCTTCAGGTCGTCGTGGCCAGTGCGGCTGCCGTTCACGAAGCCGTTAACGTGCGGCGCAGAGGCGTCGGGCACGGCGGCGGAGCTCGGAGCGGCTGCGGACGGGTCCAGCGCGCGCTTGGCCGGGTCCGCGGCGTCGCTGAAGGCGCGGGCGATCAGCTGCACGCGCTGCTGACGCGCGCTGTGGGCGCGCAGGCGCTGCAGCGCCAGCCGAGTCGGACGCAGCACGCGCATGTGGGGTGGGCAGGCGAAGAGTTACCTACGTTGTTGTTGGCCAGTGATGGACGACAAGCAGTGGCTCGGTCTCGAGACCTACGATCCGGCATAGTTGGTGTAGACGAACACGAGAAGGCGCTGTCGGAGGGTGGAGGGTGTAATGGGTAGAAAAAGTGGTGTGGGTCACATCGTATATTTCTAAAGGGCGTTTCTAAATGGCTACACTCGACGGTTGCAGCATTTATCTTGAAGCGACGTTGACCCCATTCGAGCACGTTGATTATCGCAGCGATGGGAGATGCCGACGCCAAGAGCAACAAGCTGAACCGGGAGCTGCTGCGATGGATACAGAGCTTGGACCTGGCCTACTCCATCAAGAACGTCAAGCGGTAGGTCCGTCTTCAGAGTCTGAAGGTGCCTGACGAACACTAAACCTCTGTGGATACCGAGCAGAGACTTTGCCAATGGCTTCCTCGTGGCCGAGATCCTGTCGCGCTACTATGACAAGGACATCAGCATGCACTCGTACGACAACGGCATTGGCATGAAGGTCAAGAAGGACAACTGGGACCAGCTGGCCAAGATCTTCGGCCGCTTCGTCGACCTGGAGCCGCTGACCAACAAAGCCGACATCGACGCCATCATCCACTGCCAGAACGGCGCAGCAGTTGCCTTCCTCACTAAGCTCTACCAGTGCTTGACAAAGCGCACGATCCAACCTACCGCCGTAACGCAGCCACCCACCGCAGGTTCAGGCAACATAGCAGCACCCGCTAGTGTGGCCAAAGGCTTGGACACGGTGGAGGAAATCCCTCCTTACGCCAAACCGACCAACTCGGCCTTCATTCGAGACAAGATGCGTGAGCCTGAGATCGCTGAGACGAAAGACCAGACGCAGCTGAACCGGAAGATGCGGGATATTCACTCGCAACACGAGGAAACACAGCAGCTCGAGCGTCTGATGACCGACACCCCGGACAGATATCCAACTCTGCGCAGCGCCAGCAAAGCCACCGTGTTGCGAGGTGCGACCAAACCTGTTCGCAATGACGACAGCAACCCTGTGCTCATGACTCAGCAGGTTGTGCGCGAGGTGCAGATCAAGACCATCAACCAGAAGGGGCTTGAAAAGCTTCGTGCGACGCGAGAGGCCAAGGAAAGTGAATCTCTGGGCTTTTCGGGCCATAGCTCAAGTGGTTTACTCGGTGAAGGGCGCAATGGTGTTGCTTCTTTCGACACGCGGGGTATGAATGGCGGAGGAAACAGCAACCCGGAGCTCGTCCAGAGACGGAGACCAATGGATCTGCTGAATGAGGCCGTGACTCGCAAACTTGCAAGTATGGGGCTCACGCTGAAGCCTCGAGGGGGAAAAGATAAATTCGAGAATTTCATCGACAATGCGTACGAAGGACATATTTTTGGAGACCACGAGTGTGCGGAGGTGATAAGAGGGATCGAGGAAGAGGCTGAGCTGCTTGCGGTGGCGTTCTTAGACTTCCCACGGGAGTTCTGGAAGTTTGTTGGGCTCATGCATTCTTTCTTCACGGAGCATGACGAGAACCACGTCTTCTTTCGGGCATCAGCAGAATTGTTTCAGGTTCTAGGCCAGTATTGTGTCCGTCGAGATGCTACTGCTGCATCGTTACTCATGCCCGAGTTCCTGCTTCCGAAGTTCACGCCGATTCTCAGTCGATACGCCAACAAGCGAGCTCCTCTGCTACGGATATTCTACGCGTTCCTGCCCAACACAGTACTGGCGCACATCCAAGCCATCAAGCATCTGCGTGAGGCACTGGCTAATGACATCCCGTTGTTCGTGCACATGTTGACGATCCTAATTGGCATGGAAAACGAGCTGGACGACACACTTGTGGACTTGTATCACTACTACTGCTGTATCGGGCTGGAAACACCGTGTGAAAAGCTGCGAGCTGCCTGTTTGTCCATGCTGATTCCGTTCCTGAACTACGACGTGAACCTCGTTCTAGACTTACTGCCCCGATTGACACAATTGTCGTCCAGACACGCTTGGTGGGAGGTGAAGGCGCAGCTTCTCATCGTCGCATCAGCTTTTCTTCGGACGGCGCCAACTCACCGAGCGCAGAGCGAAGATGACGCAGGGGATATACCCGAGGAGCCAACCCGAGATTTTACAGAGCAGATCGAGTTGTGTTTAACCATTATCGAGCGCGAGTTCCATCCCGAAGCGAGTCTGAATCTGCGGCGCGTTGGGTTATCATATCTCGCGAGGAATCTGGAGCAGTACCAGGAACTCGTGCCGCTGTACGTAGATGTACTACTCAGCCTTCCGGGATCTGTGCGTCGCGCGATGCTGTTTGCCCCCGACACCGAAGCCACGACGGAGGAAGAGGAGGACGAACATGAAGAGAACACAAAGACGTCGACTGGAATCGAGCACCAGTTACCTGTCCACGGTGCGTCTGGCGCAACTTACCAGCTTCTACCACTTGTTGCGAACTGGGACTCGGTCGCTATTGCCAAGCAAGTGTTCTACGAGCACAAGAATCAAAGCTCAGCCAACACGGACGTCCTTTTGGTCATGTTGAAGTGCTTCGAGCAGTTGCTACACTCTGGCCAGACGCTCAACGTTCGAATGCTATACGATCAAATGAAGGGATACATCGTGTTGGGCTTTGGAAGCCCCGGTACTTGCGAGATCAGCGCCAACATCGTCAAAGTCGCGCTTGCGGCATTGGACGGCAGTGAGACTGACGTCTTCCAGCATGTGGCGCTGGTCGAAACTCTGCAGAGGCTCGTGACCAGAAATGTCGACGACATCCGCCAACAGACCGTAGTAAAGTTGCTGCACGATGCCCACGTAATGAGCCCCCAATGGGCGGAAAAGGTTCTACGCTGTGTCAACAACTTGCGGTCAATGTGTGACGCGGATACGTTCAAGTCTTCGCTCTTCTCAATCGCGTTTGAACTTGACGGGTAATAACGATAGGGAGATACCGTAAGGTGAGAGCTAATCGCTGACCTTCATGAACAGAGATAATAGCTTGTCTTTCCATTTTACTACACGCTATTCTAGCTGACAAGAAAGCTCGCAATCGCTCTCTGCAACATCGAAAACGAACGCAATAATGCCCTGAACTGCGCATTTGATCACCCCAAACTCGTTTCAATCTGATTAGGACTGCGTCACGGGCGACTTGATCGTCACAGCCGCCTTGGTGTACGAGCAGACGGGAGGAGCCGCTCCGTTGCCGACTTTCCTGGGGGTGGCGCCTCCGTTGAAGCGCGTGCACACCGGGAGGCTGTTGGCCGTCGAAATGGTCGCCTTGGAAATCGTGCCCCTGTCGTTGTAGTTCTGGTTCACACGGATGAGCTCCGCAGTGGGGTTCACGCTCACGACGCCGTCCACGATAACGCCGCGCTTGACGGGGCCACACGTGCCGCACGACTCGAACAGTCTGCCCGAGTTCTCCATGTAGAAGCCGCCGCTGACGACGACCGTGCCCGAGGCCTGGCCGTAGACGACGCGGTGCGCCACGTTTCTGGCGCCGCCGCCCGTGATGGTCGTGATGCCCGTGCCCGAGTTGACGTGGAGCGCGCTCTGGATCGATCCCTTGAACCACACGTTCACCAGCGCGCAGTTGTGCGTCTCGCAGAAGACGCCGCCGCCACCGGCGATAATGACGTTGCTGAGGGTGCCGCCGGCCTGGACGACGAACACGGCGTTCGCCCTGGTCATCTTCGCGCCGGATTTAAACGCCACGTTGCTGCGCTTGTAGGTTTTCATGCCACCGTCGAACGGGGTAGTGGGCCCCACCACACGGGGCTTGGTAAGTGGCACCGTGCCCTTGGACGTGGGCCAGACGCCGACCGCACGCTCCTCGTCCTCCGCCGCCATGACCTGGCCCGGCGTGTAGTTCTCGGCCCAGAGCGTCGTGTCCACCTGAGCGCCGGCCAACTTGCGGCCACCCTCCGGCACCTCCAGGCTGTCGAAGGAGATCTCTTCCCTCATTTCATGCGTAGTCAGCGCTGCAACAATTCAACAACAACAGACACTGTCAATGGGGAACTGCTCTCCTCTCTCCAGCACAGTTGAGCACACATTTTTACCTTGCGTGGACAGCACGCAGGTGGCCGCCACCACGAGCGCAAGGAACCGCATCATGTCGGCTTATGCGTCTCCAAAGCAGTTGTGCTCGCAGTCAGTTGTGCGCTCTCCGCTCTTCCGCCGCTGCCTGAATCGTCGTGTGGGCGACAGACACCAAGTGGCGGAAAGGAACTCGCGGCAACGACGCAGAAGGGGCTCCATGCAGAGGCTTGCTTTGAGCAGCGCCATCCTGCGATCTGCTCGACCATTACGGCGACCGTTACAGCCGTTGACAGGCTTTTTGACCAATGGCGAGGCGTGAATCCACGTCTCGACGCTTGGTGGTCAAGAGCTCAAAGAGGTCATGCGTCACAAGAAGCGCTCGACCACGGCCAAGCCGCTGCGTGCGTCGGGCATCCGCCCCGCGGGCTCCGCGACCAATTGGGAGAAGGCGAGAGACGCCCGTGGACCTCGCTCGCAGCGCAAGAAGCAGCCGCGCAGCCCCAAGAAGGTGCAGAAGACCCGCGAGGTGCGACGCAAAAGAGGCCGCCAGCGTAAGGAGAGCGATCCCAAAGCGAATAAAGGCAACGAAGCGGCTTCCAGTCGCGAGGCGGCTATGGACGCGGAGCTGAGGGCGTTTGCGGAACGGGTGGCGCTCTCACCGCAGGAGAAGCAGCTGCGCACGAGGGTGTTCGAGGACGTGCGCGACCTCATCTCGTCGGCTTTCCAGGACGCGACGGTGCAGCTCTACGGGTCCTCCAGCACAGGGCTCGACACCTTCCGCAGCGATCTGGATATTACTGTGGGCAACATCTCACTGTCGGCAGCGTCGCAGCCATGGCCGACGGTGGTGGTAGTGGATGAAGAAGATGAAGTCGTTGAAGAGCAGGAGCCGACCGGAGTGGGAGAAGATGAAGACGAGAGATTGGAGAGTTGTGCTCGATTATCTACTAACCAACCAGTAGAGGAGGAGGAGGAATCTTCGTTCTCACTGAACCTGGCGCTGCCTGTTGGGACGGCGGCCTCGGAGGACAATGCAGACATCACGCGGCGTGTCCAGCCCACAGCAGCTTCACATTGGAACCCGACGCTTCGTCGACGCAAGATCCGCGTTCTGCGCGCCCTGCAGTTCTTACTGAAGGCCCAGAGGCCGCACTTCCAAGTGAAATGCTTGCACAAGGCGAAGATCCCCATTCTCATGGTGCTGGACACGAAGACCAAGCTGTCGATTGATATTGGCGTGAACCGGGAGGCTTTCGAGGCGAGTGAACACGGGCGCTCCACTTCTCTCGCTCATCGGCTGCAGAATACGCTGGGCGCGCCGTTCACGACTATGGTGATGTTCCTGAAGGAATTCCTGCACCAGTTCGAGCTTGATAAGCCATTCACGGGTGGACTCGGCAGCTTCCGGGTCTACATGATGGTGGCGTACATCTTCCAGCGCTACAGCTCGAAGCGAAAGAACAAACCTCAGCCACCGGTGTCGACTTTGTTGCTGGCATTCTTTGAGCTGTTCGGCAACAAGAAGCTGCCCAACTTCCTGCACGAGGAAACGCAGTTGCCGCTTCCTCTCGGAGACGGCGGCCACATGGACTTTGGCGGTGTCTTCCGCATCGCCGACTGCGTGGATACGTTCGCTATGGCCTTCGACATTCTGAGGTCTACTGGGAACATTGGGTCCATTATTTATGAGGAGCGTCTTGAGAAGGATCGCAAAAAGTGCCAGAAGAGCATGGAGCAGAACGCTTAGAACCCGTGGGTGACGTTATGATAAGAAACGACCCATGACTCATTTGTATCTCAGAGCTTGAACTGCTTGAATGAAGTGGGGACCCCGACCCAATCGCTAAAAGCCGTAAAGAATCGGCTCCGTTGATCCTTGGAGGTGATGACAGCTGTAGACGCAGACGCAGAGGGTGTCCCATCCGGTGATGCGGCTAAGGGAACTGCTCGCTTAAGTTGCAGATATTTCAGAGCGCTTGCGCTGCTCGAAAGCGACGGCGTCTGGTCGAGGACGTGGTGAAATGCCCGAAGCAAGTTCCTCTTGGACAGACGTGAAGCCACTCGCTCCATGGCAACTCGATCCATCTTCGAGGCCTTCTTGGCGCCCTGCTTGAAGCCCGTGGCGGCCATGAGGAACTCGATCTCGAAGCTCTTGAAGAACTTTGCTGCAAACCTGTCTGTTGCATTGCTTGGCTTGGTTGAAGAGCTGTTTCCTGCAGCGAGCCAATACGATTCTTTACTCGTCCAGTTGAGCGCTAAACTTGACGGAGCGAGGTTCGATGCGCGCTGACGTGTGAACGGAGGCATGTCGGAGGTGACACACGCTTCGCACGAGGATAGACGCGCCCCCTCTATCATCGCACTGCGCTCTTCCAAACGTGCACACACTGCACGTTGAAGCGCTTGCTGCTGCTTGGCCACAGACATCGCCTGCTTGTCTTCGCTCACAACGATCGAGCTCAGGAAGACAGGCTCAAAGAATTGCAACAACAGCGACCCCTGCAGTCCCAGCGCGTTCCACTTGGTCAGTTTGTCCGAGCAGCTCATGGACAACGTCTGCTTATCGACTGGCAAGTCCGAGCGACCCGATTTCACGCGCGTGATGCCAACTGCTTGAGCGAATCGTTTGTCCGGTGGAGTGTCACGGTCTTTTGCAGAGACGTCACCTCTCGGCCTCTTGTTGCCATGAGCTTTGGCCCCCGTGAGGCGCAACTCGCTACGCTCGCCATCGTTCGCCTCTCCCCTCGCTTCACGTTGCTGCACCAACTCGTCCACCACCTCTTCGCGTAGTTCGTAGATTGCGGCGTCTCCACAGGGTGCCTCACTGATGAAGAGATGCAGCGAATGCTGCGGCTTGAGCGCCAGTCGATGCGACGTCGAATGCCGCTCGAAGATCGACTGCTCACTTGACTCGAGCCCATTTTCCTGCCAATAGAGCGCCTCTGCGTACAGATAACGGAGCAGCGCACGCCTCGCCAACACTTCGGCGTGGCAGTCGTTGACTACGAGGCCGTCGGCGTTCAGGTCGCGTCGTCCGAGACACTTGTTGCCAGTGGCAGCCGCCAGCACGCGGCATGTGTCATTCGGCTCTGTGTCAGCTGGAGAAGAGGGGCTACGCGTGTGCAATACGATGCCTGCCAGCACAGTCCACTCCGAGGTGGGGATCTTCTTCTGACACTGCGAGGAGCTCTCGAACCACTGCACAACAGCTCGCGCCACGCCGGCCGCGATGGCTGGAGACGGCATCGACGAAAGACAGCGAATAGTGACAGCAATCGGGTCTTGAATTTACTTTACTTGCCTTTTGTATCGCACGAGTAGTCTTCCCTGGTGATAGTGACTACTCATTGACATCGACTGCGTGTTCAACGTTAGGCTTTGACGTCCGACGATTAATGCATCGATTAGTGCATGGCTTCGGGTACAAGTTGGTACTACATTGTATTCTACTTGCTGGTCTTGATCTCAGCGTCAGAATTGTTCTCCTTGTCTCTCGTTTCGAGGAATAGCAGCGGCACCATGCCCAGCAGACAGCCGATCGTCACCCCGATGGAGCTGCCAGCCACCTTGGCCATCCGCGTTTGCTTCAACAGCATCTGCAAATGCCAAGCAACAAGAAGGTGAGAAAACTAATGCATTGCGAGCGTCATGCAGTATGCAGACGTACCTGTTCGTTCGTCAGTGCCGGGACGGGTAGTCCAAGCCGCGCGCAGAAGTCTTCGACGATGTTGCCCAGCCCCAGGCCCGCGATGTCCGAGATGGTGTTGCCAATGCCAGCAGCTGCCATGGACGAGATGCCGAGCGACACGCCCAGCGTCAGGTCGATGTAGTCTCCGGCGATGATCATGATGAAGTTGTCCACGAAGCCGAAGCCGATGAAGGGCAGACCGACTTGCAGCGCCACCAGCTTGAGCTCCTGCGTCGTGGGAGGCGTCACACTGGCAGCGGTGGGGGTGACAGCCTTAGAGACCGCTGCATCTTCCGCTGGGGTCTTCGCTGAGAGCTGCACTGTGTTGAGCGCCCTGGACAAGTTCCGGGTCGTGGACGGCGACAGCAGCGCGCTCAGTCGCTGCGCAGCCTCCGGGTCCGTCTTGAGCGCCGTCTCCAGGTCTCGCAGCAGAGCCACGTTCTCCGCCGTCGCTGGGGGCTTCGAGTGGAATGCGGCGCTGGGTCTGCAGCGCACAGCGGCGCGCCGGCGGACGAGGCGCAGCCCGAGCATGGAGACGACGTGGGGCTGGAACCGACCAAGCAGAGACTGAAGTTTTGAGTCGCTAAAAGCCGGGACGCAGCTTCAACCTTTGGCATTTTCGCGACTGGTACACTTCACTTTTTGTCAAATAAAACATCCTCTATATAACCATAGTCGTGGAAATTAGATAAGATGTGATCCTGGTTAGTACCGGTACAGCCCCTTCGATATTAGATTCACATCGGTATAATGCATGTGTACCACTGGTGACATGGAGCCCCACTTCGTTCGCGTACGTCAGCACCGCCATCCTCCGTCCGTTGTTGATGTGCCACCAGCCACTCGACCAACTTGCAGTTCTGCGACGCCGACTTGAGGCTCGAGCGCATTCTCCATTCCGTCGTCCAGTCCGCACTCCTCCTCTTCAATGCTGAGCCCCATCGAACAGTCCAAGCGCACGGTACGCCGCCCATAAGACTCGCTGCTGGTCGGTGGCAGAGTAAGTGAGTAAAGCTCCTCATTGTCTCTGCTGTTGCTGCTGCTGCAGGCTGCGCGCCAGGCCGTGGACGAGTACGTGCAGAGCGGCTTCGTCGTGGGCGTCGGCAGCGGCTCCACGGTCGTGTACGCGGCCGAGCGCCTCGGTGAGCTCGTCAAGGAGCAGAAGCTCACGAACGTCAAGTGCATCCCCACGTCCTTCCAGGCCAAGCAGCTCATCGCCGAGCACAAGCTCACGCTCACTAGCCTGGACGAGAGCCCCGTGATCGACGTGACCATCGACGGCGCCGACGAGGTGGACCTGCAGCTCAACTGCATCAAGGGCGGCGGCGGCTGCCAGCTGCAGGAGAAGATCGTGGCCTTCGCGGCCAAGAAGTTCGTCGTGATCGCCGACTACCGCAAGGAGTCCAAGCAGCTCGGCGAGCAGTGGACGCAGGGCGTGCCCGTCGAGGTCATCCCCATGGCCTACGTGCCGCTCATACACAAGATGGAGCAGGACTTCGGCGGCAAGCCCGTGCTACGCATGGCCAAGTGCAAGGCCGGCCCCGTGGTCACGGACAACGGCAACTTCGTGCTTGACGTGAACTTCGGCGTCATCAGCGAACCCAAGACGCTCTGCGATCGCCTTAAGCTGCTCCCTGGTGTGGTGGAGGTCGGCCTTTTCTGCGGCATGGCCGAGAAGGCCTTCTTCGGACAGACTGACGGCTCGTTCACCACACGGGTAGCTGGCAAGTCCGCCTAAGCCGTTACGGATAGCAACGAACGATAATGCAGCACTACTCCATCAGCAAACCCGCGTCATGCGTGCGTTGCTATGATATATTGTTTCTTAATCTACTGCGGTGGCGTTATCACCGACCAGCAGTCGAAAAGTGGACGGCGGAGTCAATGCAATGCTCTAAACATGAAGAGATACTTGTCACGGACACACGATCTGCCCATACGCGAGGAAGAACGGGGGCAATTTATTCGCTGGCGCTGTTCTGTTGGAAATAGTGCTCGAGACGCACTTGACGGAGGACGTCGTACTGGCCATCGGCGTCGACAGCAGTTCGCACTTCGCGCGAGGCCAATGTGCCGTCCGGATAGCGGTGCGCGTAGAAGCAGCTGGTACCGAATGGACATATTCCTCTGCAAGTAATTCAATACAACCAAAACAAATGGTTACACCACATGCCGAGCAATGCGTGAGGCGGGCAAGCGGAAAGATCAGTTTTTGGATGGCTAACGCACCTTCCTTCGTCGAAGTGGCGGCAAGGAATGGCCGACAGGTTTTTCTGTCCAGGCAAAAGAAACGGTGAGTGTCTGTAAAACAGCAAGTAGAACAAACCAACAATGGGGTCATACGCGGTATACGTCGATGAGGACTTTCTTGCGCTCCGGCTTGGTGACCATGCGGCTCGACGGGATGATGAAGTTCGTCTCCACACGACACATAGGGCACTGGCGCACGGTCTGCTTCGGCTGATCAGCGCTGCCTCGCCAATTGCGCAAGCATGTGAGACAGAAGGAGTGATTGCATCCGGATAGCAGCCCAAAGCGTTCGCCCTTCCCAAGGATATTCTCGTAGCAGATACCGCACTCCAGATCTGCTGAGAGGCGGATCTCCTCACCCATCGCCAGCATTTCTTCCTCACTTTCAACCTTTTCTGGCAGCGAATGCGAGTAAAAGCACGTGTCGCCATATCGGCACAGACCTTGCAAGAAGAATGTGCAGATTTTGCTGCAGGCGACAAGAAAGCATCCCCGTTAAAACATATCAGCGCAAGCAGTTCACGGCTAGCAACTTACGGAGGTGCAGGTCGCTCTTCATCGAAAGACAGCGGTCTGTTCCTCACGTTCTTCTTGGTCACTTCCACGTACGACTCCTTCGGCATCGGAGGCCCGGACTCCGCGGGCGTATCCTCAAACTCACCAGGAGCTCCGTAGTAGTACAACTCTAAACCAACAAAACCCCACTATCAGCGCTACAAAACGAAGATAAACAACCCAAAGAATCGCAAAACGCACCTTCTTCCTTGGAGATAAAGTCCCGTAGCTCCGTCACATCTTCCGCCTCTTTCTCCGCGTCCTCTTCGCCGGACGTCTCAGCCACAGGGGTAGCGGGCTTCTCTTCTCCCTCGTCCGCCTTCTTCTCCGGCGTAGAGGTGCCTTCCGTCTCGGCCTCCAACTCCGTACTCTCCTTCTCCTTGCGCTCGGTCTCCGTCTCCTTCTTTTTCTGCACGTGCAGGTACGGGCACTTGTCACCGTTGGAGCAGTCTCCGTACTTGAAGAACTTGCAGGGAATCCCATAAGAGCCCGGCGCCACCGTCTTCTCCCCAGTGCTGGCGCTCACGCGCGTGGCCGCCGCCTGCGCCTGCGCCGAGTGCGAGAACTTGCAGTCTCGTCCAGCCTTGCACGCGCCCTGGAGGAAGAACTTGCAGGGCAGCGGACTGACCGCCAGGTCCTCGCGCGGCGCGTGGAAGAACTTGCAGCTGCTGCCGTTGCGGCACTTGCCCGCCGCGAAGAAGGAGCACGGCGTCTTCTTCCTGGCCGCGGAGCTGCCCGAGGCGCCCGAGTGCGTCGACATCTTGCGGTGCTGCGCTGACGATTCGAATGTGGTGGGATGGTGGATGGACTTTGGCGTGATTGGATGAAAAGATTTGGAGCTGGCCAATGAGTGGTGCAGACCACCGGTCGTTAGTAATATAGCCATCTATATGCACATGGCTACATCGGGGCTCGATTAGCAAAACAAAATTATCGCAATTGATTAATGGTAGTGAACGCAGACTGTTTGTTGCGCGTCGACGTCGAAGCGAGGAGAGCTAAACGGCATGGAAATCAGTATAGCAATTCTACAAAATCAAGTTCCAGGCGTCACATTTGGACATACAGCCCGAATAGCCCCAGCAAAATAAACACATTATACATTCAACATGAACCGAAGTTCAGCTTGGTAGCTTGAAGCTGTGCAGTATGTAGCAAGAATAGCAGTAGTGTGCGTTCATGCAGATCCGCCACGGCAGATCGAGCAGCATAAGCGACCCAGCAAATGGATGCATGGCACTTCACAGTACAAAAATAGGAGCATGTGCTAAAATTCAAGAACTTCTTCATGCAACGCTCTTCTACGGCTCGCGTAGCGCTACTACATAGGACTACTAGTAGTAAAAAAAGTTTTCTACCATGCAGGTTTTAAAACAGTAAAAAAAAGTCTGCCGAACCGCGAATCTTGCTGCCCCTACACGGTCGATCCTCACAGATTACATTGATTGACTGATCACCCCTCTTTATTATTGCTGCTGCCTGGTTAGCTTACATTCGGGCCAAAGCCCGCAAACCAGTGCAACCTTCACGCTACAGTAGGCAACATCAGTATTACGGTACACAAGTTGCACAGCCAAAATTTGTACAGCATATCTGGATAGAATCAACGTTAGCTGCTAATGCAGTCGCAACATATCTTTTTCACTGCAACAGCAACTATTATTACCAAAAAAAACACCGAACTGCGATATCAAGCGGGCTTCTATAGCCCGCGAACCAGTAACCAACGTAGTTGCTTCAAACCAGTCAGTCATCGCAAAACTCTTGCCGCGCTCGACAAAAGTTCTCGCCTAAGAACTTGATTATGTCTCACATGAAGGAACTGCGTGAGTTGATTGAGAAGATGAAGGAATTCGGCGCGCAACACGCTGTTGCTGCGGCTGGCCAGGCGAAGAGGCTAAGCGACTGCGCGAATACGTTCACGTATCGCTTGAATTTTCTGTTGCTGGATGTATCCGGCGTGGGTATGACTGAGGCGTGTGTGGAGAGCGTGCTGGGTGCTCGGAACTGGAGTCACGATCGGAAGTCTGGATGTGAATCTGTACTGTGGATTGGGAGGGGCTCGAAGCGTTGTAGATCGAGAAGCCCTTGCAAAGTTCTTAATTGGAGTTTTGATGGACTCGAAGATTCGCTCAATTGGCACCTTCGACTTCATCGGTCAGTGTGATTGGAACTACGAAGCCCTGTACTCCACGCTTGCAGTGGCTCGGACACCAGTATCGAAGCTGTCAAGCAACGACGAGTTTTTCCGTAATGATCGGCTGAGCCTACTGGCGAGGGCACTGTTTTTCCCTCGGTCACCGAGGCGGTCCTCCTACCCGTCCATTAGCGGCTTGGATATATCATACGACACGGCTGATCTCGACAGCATTGTGAATGCAGTCAAGGAAAAAGATAATCGCCCTGAAATCGAGTGGCAGCTGCGTGAGGGTACTCCCTTGCGTTTTGCCAATGCGCAAACCAAAAGTGGCGCGATCGTGACGAAGCATGCCATCCCAATTCCAGTTGACACCAATAGGAAGCGTATGTCAGTGAACAAGCGCGGCTTAGTTGAGGTGTATCTTCCCGGATATGGCAAGTGCCAAATTCCTCGAGAAGCGTTGGTTCCGCGTGAAGAATTGGCTGTAGGTGATTCGGATGCTGACCCAAAGACAGCTGAGCCGAGATTTGGTTCAGCTACAACGAATGCTTCGGCCCCTTTCATCGATTTTCTGAATCACGCTTTGTTTCAGCAGTACCCCTGCCCAAAGCATTTAACTACAGTAGCCCATTCACGACACCCAATCGGCAAGATACGCAACACGTAACGGCACTTTGGTCGGAGGATTGGCGGGACTAAATCGGAAGTTATCACTCGTCCCCTTGTCCGGCACCAACGCAACGTATCTGACGGCGCCCAGACACAGCATCGCGTAACCGCTCAGCGCTTCCGAGTCAATTGTTAGTTCATCGGATTTCGTTATTCGAATCAATGCGGTCACGTTCTGCTCCTGGCCCATGCTCAGCTTGGCAACACTGTCGATAGTTCCCAGACAACGATCCAAGGGATACCAGTAGTCGACGTTCTTCAGTTGGGCCATCATCGCTTGGTACTCCTCTGCATTCCTCTACTCGTTGCGGCAATTGCTGGTTTTGATCTTACCAGTAGCGTACGTATGCTGGTTCGTTTTGATCCGGTCGTATTTTAGCTTTTATTTATTAAATTTTTTAATTTAATTCATTTTTAAGCTCTAAGATTAAAGTAATAAAATGATTTGAAGATATTAATAACATTAAACCTAATAAGGATATTACCCGCAACTCGACGGTCTCTCCATCCGTTACGATCGTATGCACGTAGTTCCCGAATGCGATCCCCATTAACCCGTCGTCTCGAATCATGCGAGCTCTAGACCACAATTCCTTGTAGTAGGATGGCTTCACGATCTTGCCCAGACGTCTCAACGCATACTTAGAGGTGACCACGCAGACCCATTGGCCGGATTTCCAATACTTCTTCAAGCTGCTAGGGTCCCGAGAATCCGTAGCGGCCGTGACTGTCACCATCCGCAAGAGATCAACATGGTGACTCGATACGCTTCCAAGTTGAGAAATGAGAACTTCTGCAGAAAGCAGGGTTCCAACGTCAACGGCTTGGTCGATTGCAGATTTGGTAGTATCCTCCCCCATCAAAAAATCGCGCAAGTTGCCACTCGAGTAGTAATACCTCTCCTTGATATCGAGATCAGCCCAACCATAATGTTCTCCAATGCGGGTAATATCCGCCTTCGACCAAAAAGGAACCAGACATCTCCTCCGAACTTCCGTTTCATCGTTCTTCATGTCGTATTGTACAGATGTGGCAAGCATCCGAAACTTCGTCAGGCGACCAAAGTTACTCAAATCATTATCAATTTCCCTCTGCAGGAAGCCGTCAAGACACAGCTCAAAGTCCGAATTCACCACAAGATCCAAGTCAGCGATATCCACCTTTGTTGATTTGCGCCAATATTGCTCGTGCTCTGGATCCAGATACAACATCGTATACCCTCCCCCTTTCAGCTTTCGATAAAGGACGATACGCTTCTGCAGGTGCAGCGCCATGTAAAACGCAAGCACGACGACCAGCGTGCTTTTCCCGACACCTGACGTCCTTACAAACACAGTGTTGAGCTTAAGTCGCACATTCTCGTTGAATACCTTGACGAGATCCTGTGTTTCTTTCCGAACGTAAAACCACTTGGGGAAATCAGGCTCAACGCGGTTAATGCTGAGAGCTAACCCACCATTAACTTGCCACGAATCGAGGTCAAAGTAGCTTGCAATAGTGTTCATAGTCTCGCGATCGATGGGAGTAATCCCCTCAGGGGTAGTCACCTCAGCCTCCGTCCTTGGTCGCTTCTGGCCTGGCGCGGCCGCCGACTCTGCGCTCGGAACCACTACCAGCACGTGTACCACGTCCTCTTCAAGCGAACCAAAAAGGCCCTTCTTGTTCAACTTCCACGACGCTCGCAACTTCTCCATCTTCGAGGTGCCAACGTTGTTCTGCAGCATCTTGTCCAGGTCATCGTCGTCTGGGAGCCATCCGCCGTCTGCCTTCTTCGCCAAGAAGTGCTCCAGCTTCGTCCAAGGATCGTCAGCTCTGATCAACCCGTCGCTTTGTTCCTTGATCGCCTCCTTCAAGTGGCCCACCGTCTTGTCCGCGTCGATTTCCACAGGGAACGGGCTCCCCCCAGCACCATCAACCGCACAGATTAGCGTCAGTATCTTTCCTCGGTTTTGGAATGTGTAGAAAAACTCATTGTAAAACTCTCTAAAAGCAGATTGATTGTTGAAGACTCAACAAACACTATTCCTCATCATGCACTCTGAGAGGCGACATCACCGACACAGTTTTAATGCACTTGTTGAAAGTAGATACGCCTGTAGCAGTGCCTTGAGCCAGCAGGCAAAAACCATATCCGCCACTTCAACATGGAGACCACTTCAACATCGGACTTCCCTGCTGTAATCGGCAATGGAAATCCTTTTCGGAAGACACGCTTACGGCTCTTCGCTCCTTTTCGTAGCGCTTTAGTGTTCGGCTGGTTGTCCACTACATGTACTTGACTAGGTCTTTAGCTCCCAAGAATTCGTGCATTTTTAAATATTAGTCCGCGTCCTGGCATTGAAACGATTGCTGCAACACCTTCGTCGACACCAGCTCGCTCACTACTGTGCACTACACCCTGCAGTTCCTACAGCTTACCAGTAACAATGAGCTCACTCCCCACCATACCTCAGAAGAGCAACAAATCCTTGATCATGCGGCCGACACACGATGCTGTTGTAGCTGACGTTCGGGACGCCGTGCACGCTTAACCCCTCTAGCCCCATATTCTGTATCCTACAGAATAAGCATTTCGACAGGATTTAATATCCAGCTAACTTGGTTTCCGCGAAAAACTTCGCATATAGTTTTTTGTATAGTGAGTAATCAGCCCATCATTCCTGTTGGATCTGTGATGGGTAGATAGACGGGGATTCTTCTGCGGCTATAGAAGGACGAGTATAAATCCCCAACAGGTTGGAAAATTGGGGTCAAAGTGACCGTTTGGCAGCCACTCGCGGTGCCATTCTCTTCGGAACGAGAAACCGCCCTGACCAGACGTACCTCGAGCTCTGCAAGCCCGGTAAGAACGTACTAGTGCTGCTGCGTAGGCGAGGGCCAGGCGCTACTGGGAGCTCGAGGTCGCCATAACAGTCTACTCGTGGTAGTGATGCTAAAGGTAAGCAAGTCTATTTACAGTCTGTTCGATATATTGTCAGGTCAGTCTGGAATCGTATTCAAGCGCGCGCGAGCCCATAGTGCGCCGTGTGAGGTGGTGCTGCCGGCTACCACTAAGTATCGAGACGCGCGTTCGTCACTCCTGGACCAACCACCTCCATGAATGCATCCGCAGCGATAGCAACGGCTTCAACTAGCGCTCCACAGCAGCGCATGCGTCGTTCAGGCGCTTACCAGGTAGGGGATAAACGGCAGATGGAGGCGATGCGATAGAGGGGCTAGATGGAAGCTGCAGACCAACGTGTATTGACTGAATTTATTGTGATGGTACCTACAGAATAGACCTGTCCGGCAGCGATGGATATGACGGATGCTACAGAGCAAACCAGACCAACCCAAGTGGATACAGCGGAAGGTACAGAACAATGTTTTGTGCTGATTTGAATACGACGGATGCTACAGAATATGGTGGCCATGAGACGGAGTCTACTGAACAAGGGACTTCTAGCAAATACTTCGACGTACACGGCGCGAAGCCTGGGGTGACCACCGAGAGCGTTTGGCCCGCATGCTGCTGAATATTTAGGATGTAGCAGAGCTTATCGATAATGCATTCGTATATTACATATTATGGATACTGTGCGTGCGACGGACATGAGCGAACGCCACAGCGCGATAAAGTGATCACCAGCGCTAGTTAGCAAGACGATGGCGAGGATTCGTAGGGAGCGAATAGATGCATACACGAAGTCTATCGGAGGTCTAGTGACGCTAGGAAATAATTGCCCAGTTCCTCCTCACTCCGTTAGTTAGGAACTAGGCAATTTTTTCCTCAGCGCCTGGGCCTCACCCGCCGCGTGGCATGAAGGACGGATGGCTGGTGCTGTTAACGCTCCTCGGTTCGGACTTATACCGAACTTGACAGGTATTGCAGTTCTAAAGGTAGGAAAGTGTGTGTTACGTTTGTTTCGCCCAATGAGCACACACTATTTTTATCAGATGGTGGATACATTGTTCATCTTTTGTCCACTTTCGCACCTATTTTGTGCTGGAAGTGCACGATTGATGTACCGTCACCCTGTAAAGGGTTGCAATAGCATACCCCCAGCAGTTTTGACGTAACTTTCGCACGAAATGGTAGCAAACACATAGCAACACACAGAGACCGTGGCGAGGCCAAGTTAATTATTGAAAGTTGGCTCAGAGGGCGTCAAATTCACGCGGCTCGGCTCTTTGCACTGATTCGTGCAGCACTATTCGTTTCGGCGGCACCCCTGCTCCAAAGCATTTAACTAGCCCATTCACGACACCCAATCGGCAAGATACGCAACACGTAACGGCACTTTGGTCGGAGGATTGGCGGGACTAAATCGGAAGTTATCACTCGTCCCCTTGTCCGGCACCAACGCAACGTATCTGACGGCGCCCAGACACAGCATCGCGTAACCGCTCAGCGCTTCCGAGTCAATTGTTAGTTCATCGGATTTCGTTATTCGAATCAATGCGGTCACGTTCTGCTCCTGGCCCATGCTCAGCTTGGCAACACTGTCGATAGTTCCCAGACAACGATCCAAGGGATACCAGTAGTCGACGTTCTTCAGTTGGGCCATCATCGCTTGGTACTCCTCTGCATTCCTCTACTCGTTGCGGCAATTGCTGGTTTTGATCTTACCAGTAGCGTACGTATGCTGGTTCGTTTTGATCCGGTCGTATTTTAGCTTTTATTTATTAAATTTTTTAATTTAATTCATTTTTAAGCTCTAAGATTAAAGTAATAAAATGATTTGAAGATATTAATAACATTAAACCTAATAAGGATATTACCCGCAACTCGACGGTCTCTCCATCCGTTACGATCGTATGCACGTAGTTCCCGAATGCGATCCCCATTAACCCGTCATCTCCAAGCATGCGGGCTTTGGACCACAATTCCTTGTAGTAGGATGGCTTCACGATCTTGCCCTGACGTCTCAACGCATACTCAGATGTGACCACGGCAGTCCACTCGCCAGGACTCCAATACTTGTCCAAGTTGGTTGGGTCCATCGAACCAGTTGCAGCGAGAACTGTCATCATACGCAAGCGATCAACTTGATCCACCGACCCGCGCCCATACTGAGTCCTGAGAACTTCTGCTGCATACGGACCAACATTGCCAACTGCCTCATCAATCGCAGCCTTGGCAAGTTTTTTTCCGGACAAGAAATCGCGCAAGTTTCCACCCGAATAGAAGTACCTCTCCTTGATATCGAGATCGGTCCACCCGTTACGTTTGCCAACGGCGGTCGTATCCGCCATCGACCAAAAGGGAACGAGACACTTCCTTCGTATGCGAGTTTCGTCGTTCTTCCAGTCATACTGACCAGACGTGGCAAGCATCCGAAACTTGGTCAGGCGACCAAAGTTCTTCAAATCACTAATATACTTCTGCTGGAAGCCGTCAAGACACATTGCGATAGTTTCCATAGTCTTGCGATCGATGGGAGTAATCATCGCAGGAGTAGGCACCTCAGCCTCCGTCCTTGGCCGCTTCTGGCCTGGCGCGGCCGACGACTGTGCGCCCGGAACCACCACTGGCACGTGAACGTGTCTCAACTGTGGGGTGGGCATGACATTCTTTTCCAGCACGTCTTTCAGCGAATAGTCTGTCTGTAGCTCTTGGTCTTTCTCCGTTAGCGCTTCAATGGTAGGAGTCTTTTCGCCCTTCTCAATGCCTTCACGTCGTCAAATTCAGATTGCAGCCACGCATTGCCTTTCTTCGCCAGGAAAAGCTTCAGGCTCCTGGCGTCGCCCGTGATCATCTTTGCGTTATCCAGCTTGATCGCCTTCTTCAAGTCTCCAACTGACTGACCCGCGTCGATGTCCACGCGGAACGTGTCTGCCACACCTATGATCGCGCAGAACAGCTTCAGCTTTCCTCGAGGCAGCGGATTCTGGGATGAGAATCGGAGAACTCGCCATCGTACCTAAACGGAAAGGATGAAGGCAAGTGACAACATCATTCGATGCCGACTGCATTCTCGTCAACAACACCGAAGAGCTGCTTCCAGCACCGCAGGCTTCGATATGACAGCGAGGTTGTTTATTATAATAGCGAGAGTCATCTGCATGTGGCGTGTGGTGTCGAAAGAAGTTCATCGGGGTTTCCTGCCGGGCGAGTCGTTGTCATATAAGTAGTGTACTACGCAAACAGGTTGCCCTTTAACAAGGTTGCTTCGTTTTGGCTGAAAAGACCTTGTTCCTATATGTTGAACAATTTTCACATTGTACGTGAAACTACACGCAGGGGCGTGTACTATATGTAGGAATCTGCTAGACAACCGCAGGAGATGCCCTTGGATAGTTACTAGGAGCACATTTATCTAGCAACTCCCGCAAGTCCTCCACGTTCAAGCTCTCGACAAACTCGTCGACAGCGTGCGCCCATCCGAACTGCTTGCTGGTGATGTTGGCCTAGGCGCCCGTGGTCCTCATTCTACGACCACGTCTATCACGTCTGGAAAGCTCCGCTGGAGCTGGGCGCTGGACCTTGAAGTGCTCTGCTTGGATAGCCCATGGGGCACTAAATACCACCCCCTGCTATGCTATTTCGTTTTGGCCAATCAAAGGTGACCCGCTCAATGAGTGGCCGTAAATCAGCGTCAACTTCAACACGTGGTTGCCCACGAGAAGTTTCCTGTACGACGTGAGCGGGCAGCTCCTCCAGGCACGTGCACCGTCCTTCCTTGGCCTTCCTTCTCCCTGTTGCCTGTGCGGCGATCGTCGGGTGCTTCGCCACCCCCGGAGTCGCCGTCGACCGCGCAGACCTCCTCACTCGCTTCAGCCCCCGCCGCAACATGCTGATCGCCGTCCCCACCGCCCTCGTTGCGTCCAACCCGTCGACGAACTCGTCCAAGACGAAGACCGTTGCTCTGCCAGCCGCTCTGGGATCTCTGGCCGCCTGGGGCCTGTTCCAGCAACAGCAGCAAATCCGCACCCCGGCCGTCGAGAAAGATGCGGGCCCTTCCGCCAGCCTACGCACGCTGAGTTCCGAAGGCAGAAGCTGCAACGCCGCCGTGTCTCGACCAGCGGCGGTAGCGCATCCCGCCCGCGTTGCAGTGGCATGGCGAGGCGCGCGGTGAGAGTCGGCTCGAGATGCTGCGGCAAGAGAGAACGAGTCCACCCACCCAGGGAGCGAGCTCTAGGCGCTGCGGACGAGAAGGAGCCAGAGAGAGCTATGGGTAATATTTAACGCGAACTTGCCTTTCCTACTTGGATTGCGTATGGCAGATTGTTTTGCGGTCTGCAGAGTCGTGAAGGATCGATGTTGAAGTGCTCTCCATGTTGAAGTGGTGGATATGGGTTCGCTGCAAGTGGCTGCACGAGCAAGCAAGAACATGCGTCCTCACTCGATCTTATTCCTCACGTTGCGAAGGCTACGCTCACGCCGCTGCCTTCGCATATATGAGCTGACGTGCAGATGTGTCCGGGCTTGAGCGCGATGAGCAGCGGAAAATGACTGGTGCCGGCCGCTTCAACCTGCAAATTCAGAACCCGGATCGTTTTGGTGGTGTGTCCACACGAGCAGCATTCTGAAGTGCATAAATGGACCATTCTTCTGCTTTTGTCCGCCAGCTCGCAGGCAATTTCAATTCCGACAGGCGTGCAGTTACCGGTAGAAGGTGGAGACGATGGCCGTGGTGTTGGCGGTTTAGTTGCCTTGGTACCGTTGTCTTGGTCCTGAGTAGACCGCGGTCTGTGAGTCAGCCGCTGACGGCAGAACGGGATGCGCTCGAGAGCCGGGCACTGTGACCATGGTTGGTACCCATGCAAAGAGTACTGTATCAGCTTAGAGTTGGTGCTCGTGTTATTCGTCTTGACCGATGAGTTGTCGTGCTTTATCTATCGCAGAGAACTCGAGCTTGCCGCTGGGACTCCCCAACTCTTTCTTCGTGTTTAACATGAAGACAAAAGACGGCGCGCCTTAAAAAAAGCTGATGTCGATGCTGTGCAACTTGCACTGCTGCATCCGTGCACAGAGTCGCATTGAACCAGAATTCAACAGCGGAACTCAATGTACGTAGCGAAATGCGGACTTGTGGGCAGTCAGTGCAATGCAGCGTGCTGGAAGGCAATGCTCGGCAGCCGCGACAAAAGTGCTGCAACAATAGCGATCAATTCAAATTTGAATGGAGATCGGGCTCACTTGGGGGGTGATGGGCGGCCCAGCCGTTGGTCCAGACCTGAAACTTTTCTTGTGGCCTCCAGGTATTATAATATCTAGGAGCTGACGCCGGCATAGTCTCTTTAAGTCTGACGTTGAAGGCACCGTCAAGTACTCCTAATTTTTCTAAACTCTGTCTTCGTGTTAAACGTTAGGACAGTTCTGGTTCACTGCTGTAGGAAATGTAGACCGTAAAGCTTTCGCCGCAGTATGGGAGTGTTAGATTGAACACGGTCGTGATGTTCAGACAAAAAGATGCCGTCGTTACCTACAGAAGAAGCCTCAAGCATGCTATCGGTATTTTGTACATGTTTGGAGGTCGCTCGGCGATAACACTTGCACCACGCACCGCTACAATGTCGATAAACATCTTCTTCCACTCGCGAGCTGTCACCGTCGACCCCCGAAAACTGCACTCGTCGATAAGTGATGAACTTGAATCGAGAAAAAGTTCGTGAAGGCTAAATGGAGAAGTGATGCTGAAGTGGGCTCAATGTTGTAGTCACGAACATGGCTTCGCTGCGGGTGTAGCTGGCGCCTACTTGAGGAACTATGCGTCCTCAGTCGATCTTACTCCTCGCGTTGAAGAGGATCGCTTCGCCGCCTTCACTTACATGAGCACGCATCTTGACGAGCCGTCTGGTAGAAAACCCCGATGATCTTCTTTCAATACCACGCGAAGGACTACTGTTAGAGTGCGCGCGCTCTCTCTCACGCTCCACTACTAACCGGAAAAGCAATCACCAGGTGGGCCACTGCATGACTAGGTCTTTAGCTCCCAAGAATTCGTGCATTTTTAAATATTACTCAGCGTCCTGGCATTGGAAGGATCGCGGCAACACCTTCGTCATCACCAGCTCGCTCACTACTGTGCACTACACCCTACAGTTCCTACAGCTTATCAATAACAATGAAGCGCACTCAGAAGAGCAACAAATCCTTGATCATGCGGTCTGAGACCGTGGCGGACTCGGCTTCCGCCTCCGTCCGGACGCTAGCGTCGAACGCGTGCGTAAATCGCTTGTCCCGAGCCATCATGCGCTCCAACAGCGAGTTGGACTCGGCGTAACGCCGGATCAGATGCTCGCAGAAGCTGTCGTACGTCTTGTTCTCCTTGTAAATGAGCCGTCCAGTGGCGTAGCTGGCAGTGCGGTAGGCCTCCACGAAGGTGCCCTCGACTCCGTCCTGGACTTGGGGCCGGAAAACCACCCACCGCTTGAACAGCCACGGCAGCGTGCTCTCGTCCTGGAAGTCGCGCTCCTCCAGTACACTCTGCTGGCAGATGATGGCTCGGTGTTCCTCAGGGATGTACCGCCGACACACGATGCTGTTGTAGCTGACGTTCGGGACGCCGTGCACGTTCAGCGACCACTTGCCCGTTGTTTTAGAGTACACGTGGGCCACATCCTTGTCTAGAGGCGTGACCACGACGTAGTGCTTCTTGGCGTGCTTGATCGAGATCTTCTGCGCCACGTTCGTCTCCCAGCAGAAGTCGAACATGTCCTTGACGTTGCACGGGAAGAACTTCTGGTTGTGGATGGTGTAGTTCTTCTCGGTGATCGCAAGGCGAAGCTGCCAGCCGTCCATCTCAATCGGGAGGCACGAGATCACTTCCGGCGCGAAGCTGCTGCTTTCGAGGCTGATGTTCACGCTCACGAACGACGCGATGTTGAGCAGCTCGCGCTTGCGCTCGTCACTGAGCGAGTAGCCTGTGGCCGGGTCGATGGTGTGGATGCTGCTGGCGTCGTCCGTCTCGATGTGGTTTACTGCGTCGTTGCTGTGCGTTCCGTCCGTGTCCTCGCCGCTGTGGTCTTCCGTCCTGAAGGGCAGCAGGTCCGAGCTGAAGGACACCAGCGGCACGGTTGGAGTCACCGCGGGGCTGGGCCGTGCACCGGAACTCATCTCCTCCACCTTGCGCACACTGTCATCCACGAAGTGCGAGAGGCGCGCGGCGCGCTGCTGCTGCGATAGCTGTCCCTGCAGGTAGTTGACCTGGTCCTTGAGCGCCGCCTGCAGCTCCACGACGTGCGTGCGCAGGAACTGCAGCTCCAGCTTCTGCTTCTTGCGGCAGCGACGCGACGCCGCGTTGATCTTGAGCTGGCGCTCGCGCGAGACCTTGGTCTTCTTGGTGCCGGGGGGGGTCGTGGCGTTGGCCTCGTCCTCCTTTTTGACTCCATTGGCTGGGCCGTTCCTCCGGCCGATGTTGACTGTGTTGCCCGGTGCGCGCGTCTGCACCACCAGATTCTGCGGCTTGGCGCGCATGGACAGCATGGACGTGGCCACGGCCGCCGTGGGCGACGACTTGTCCGCCGCCATGCGCTCGTAGCCGCGCTTAACGCCGCTCTGTCGCGCGGGCGCGGCGGCCACCGGCGCCCCGTTGCTCATTGGCGGGAGGCCGTTGCTCACAGCGGATGATGGGAAGCCCATCGGGGCCTGCGCCGCTGGTGCTGAGTAATATAAGTCCAAGTACGAGCCCGTGGGCGGCGCGTCGGGCCCCGTCGGGCCAGCGCCGCCACCAACGAAGGCGCCGAAGAGCTCGTCGTCCATGTCGGTGGTCGAGAGCAGGGACGACTGCAGGTGGTCGGAGGAGAGCGCGAGCGTGGCGCTGGAGCTGCTGGAACCCGTGGGCGACGCGCTGGAGACCGCGGCCAGCTCCTGCTTGAAGGTCAGCACCTCGCCCTCGGCGTAGAACGAGGAAGGCGACGAGCTGACGAGGTCCTGGTCGTTGCTGTACGCCTGCATAAGGGCGGAGGGGGGGGGGGGGGGCAGGGACGCGCCTGACAACCTGCTGGCGGCCCGGCTGCTGCGGTGCGAGAGGTTCGAGGCGAATTGGAGAATGACGGACAGCTGGCGGGCGGCTCACGGCGAGGTGGTGCTGGGCTTGCCGGGTCAACAACTTCGAGTTGCCTGGAGGTGGAAGAGGATATGCAGGTCACCTGCCTCGAGGTTTGCTTGCTCGCCCTCCGTGTCGACGGTGCCCGCCCTTTAACGTTAGCTATCCCCGTAGACTTAAAGAGACTATGCCGGCGTCAGCTCCTGGAGCGGCCGGCACCAGTACACTTGCTGATTCTATAAAACGCTCGTTTATGTCTCCAGATTATAATACCTGGAGGCCACAAGAAAAGTTTCAGGTCTGGACCAATGGCTGGGCCGCCCATCACCCCCCAAGTGAGCCCGATCTCCATTCAAATTTGAATTGATCGCTATTGTTGCAGCACTTTTGTCGCGGCTGCCGAGCATTGCCTTCCAGCACGCTGCATTGCACTGACTGCCCACAAGTCCGCATTTCGCTACGTACATTGAGTTCCGCTGTTGAATTCTGGTTCAATGCGACTCTGTGCACGGATGCAGCAGTGCAAGTTGCACAGCATCGACATCAGCTTTTTTTAAGGCGCGCCGTCTTTTGTCTTCATGTTAAACACGAAGAAAGAGTTGGGGAGTCCCAGCGGCAAGCTCGAGTTCTCTGCGATAGATAAAGCACGACAACTCATCGGTCAAGACGAATAACACGAGCACCAACTCTAAGCTGATACAGTACTCTTTGCATGGGTACCAACCATGGTCACAGTGCCCGGCTCTCGAGCGCATCCCGTTCTGCCGTCAGCGGCTGACTCACAGACCGCGGTCTACTCAGGACCAAGACAACGGTACCAAGGCAACTAAACCGCCAACACCACGGCCATCGTCTCCACCTTCTACCGGTAACTGCACGCCTGTCGGAATTGAAATTGCCTGCGAGCTGGCGGACAAAAGCAGAAGAATGGTCCATTTATGCACTTCAGAATGCTGCTCGTGTGGACACACCACCAAAACGATCCGGGTTCTGAATTTGCAGGTTGAAGCGGCCGGCACCAGTCATTTTCCGCTGCTCATCGCGCTCAAGCCCGGACACATCTGCACGTCAGCTCATATATGCGAAGGCAGCGGCGTGAGCGTAGCCTTCGCAACGTGAGGAATAAGATCGAGTGAGGACGCATGTTCTTGCTTGCTCGTGCAGCCACTTGCAGCGAACCCATATCCACCACTTCAACATGGAGAGCACTTCAACATCGATCCTTCACGACTCTGCAGACCGCAAAACAATCTGCCATACGCAATCCAAGTAGGAAAGGCAAGTTCGCGTTAAATATTACCCATAGCTCTCTCTGGCTCCTTCTCGTCCGCAGCGCCTAGAGCTCGCTCCCTGGGTGGGTGGACTCGTTCTCTCTTGCCGCAGCATCTCGAGCCGACTCTCACCGCGCGCCTCGCCATGCCACTGCAACGCGGGCGGGATGCGCTACCGCCGCTGGTCGAGACACGGCGGCGTTGCAGCTTCTGCCTTCGGAACTCAGCGTGCGTAGGCTGGCGGAAGGGCCCGCATCTTTCTCGACGGCCGGGGTGCGGATTTGCTGCTGTTGCTGGAACAGGCCCCAGGCGGCCAGAGATCCCAGAGCGGCTGGCAGAGCAACGGTCTTCGTCTTGGACGAGTTCGTCGACGGGTTGGACGCAACGGGGGCGGTGGGGACGGCGATCAGCATGTTGCGGCGGGGGCTGAAGCGAGTGAGGAGGTCTGCGCGGTCGACGGCGACTCCGGGGGTGGCGAAGCACCCGACGATCGCCGCACAGGCAACAGGGAGAAGGAAGGCCAAGGAAGGACGGTGCACGTGCCTGGAGGAGCTGCCCGCTCACGTCGTACAGGAAACTTCTCGTGGGCAACCACGTGTTGAAGTTGACGCTGATTTACGGCCACTCATTGAGCGGGTCACCTTTGATTGGCCAAAACGAAATAGCATGGTATTTAGTGCCCCATGGGCTATCCAAGCAGAGCACTTCAAGGTCCAGCGCCCAGCTCCAGCGGAGCTTTCCAGACGTGATAGACGTGATCGTAGAATGAGGCCGAGCCTACCACGGGCGCCTTGGCCGCCAGCGCGGCCGGGTGCAGCCACCAGTCGACGCCATACGCGAGCGAGTCGTGGCGGTCGTAGCTCGCCGCCTTACGCAGCTCGGTCTCACCTGCCGCCAGCTCCAGCACGCGGAAGCCGTTGTGCATGCACGCGGCCAGCAGCAATTCCTGGCAATGGCAACAAAGAGCGGACGTTAGCGCATCCCTGGTCAAACTGGGTAGGTATGCAACGCCTTCCTTACCTTGCGGGTCTTGTCCGGATGCCATTTGAGGCGCCACACGCCTCCACCGGCGCCGTAGACGGCCAGCGGCCTCGTCATATTGCGATGGTCCCAGACAGCCACCTGCTCGTCGTAGCTTCCGATAGCCACCAGACGCTCGTCGTGCGGGTGGAACTGGATGCTGCACACGCCCATGGAGTACTGGCGCGCGTTCTTGAAGGTCGGCGTGGAAGTGCCCACGCGCAGGTCCCAGCCTTTCAGAGCCGCATCGTCCGCGCCCGAGAAGAGCACGTTCGGGTCGTGGCAATTGAAGGCAGCGATCCAGGCCTCGATAGGCGAGCCGAACAGGTCGTGCGCGCGCCACTGGAGTCAAACAACAAGCAAACAACAGGTGCCAGTTAGCGCTCCGTCATCCCGTTTCACCGAGCAAGTCATCGTTCAGTGCGAGAAAATCGCCTCGACAAAACCACCCCTGGAAGTCCCAAGCGAAACGGGCTGCGACCTACCTTGGCTTGCTGGACGATGCCCTCCGGCGCCACATCCCAGACCGACAGCGCTCTGCAAGAATGTATTCACAGCAGAAAAGTTTGTTAGCACCACTCAAAGCATCCCACTACACGAGACTTGCATGCTAAGCTAACTTAGCATTGTTGAGCACAAGGATGATGCCTACCCGTCTGAGTGGCTTACGCAGATGGACGGCTGCGCGTTGGAGTGCACGCGGTTGTTCCAGTCCAGCGACAAGCACATGGAGTCAGCGTCCGCCTCGGTGGTCAGGCTCGAGTGGCGCAGTGTCTGCGAGCCACCTTCCTGCGCCAGCTCGTACAGTTCCAAGCTGCCGCCAGCAGTGGCGGCACCCAGCACCGCCTTGCCGTTCATGACCTCCGTGTTCCACTTGATGTCGAAGATGCCGCTGGACGTCACCATTTCCTGCAACTTGTTCACGGCCACGCCGGCGCCGTCGGTGCTGGTCGCGTCGCACTCCAGCCGAAAGTGCTGCAGCGTGCCGGTGCGCCGGTCCTCCGCCTCGCCGGTCTGTGCCGCCTTGTGCAGCTGGTACGTGGCCACCACCATGGAGCTCTCGAAGCCGGCTACGGGGCAGGACTCGACGCAGTCCGCCGTCTCCACCGTGTCGAACGTCGCCAGCGTCGCGTCCATCTTGATGCGCTGGTAGTACCACCGCATCAAGATACCAGCCTGGTAGCAAGTGAGACTGCCGTAATACTTGCGTTTCGAATGCCGCGCGTACAGTTGTCCAATTCGTGCTGTGGAGCCGCTAGACACACATACCTTGCTAAATCAGCTGATGAAAATCCAGTAATTGGCTTAAAAATGCCTCTACGATACAATGTCCTGTTAATTAAGACTAAACAAAACTGTAAATAAATGACCTGTAGAGTCGTACTACCCCTATGCGTGTCATTCAAATCCAGTCAAATTCGATCACCGGCATGAGCGACTCGAGCTCCGATGAGGAGGACTTCTTCGGTCGCATGGAGAGCGACGACCTGTTCGAGGAGAGCGAGGTGCAGCAGGAGAAGCGCCGTGAAGCCCAGCGATACGTGGAGCAGTATGCCGAGCGGGACTGGGGTTTGGCGGCCAGGCAGTGCCGCGCTCAGGGCACCAACAAGGACTTGGTGACGGAGAGCACGCTCGAACTGCGCGCCGACAAGAAGGTCGTGTTCCAGGAGAAGCAGGGCCAGCAGGCCAAGGTCTGGGACTGCGCGCTGGTGCTGTCCAAGTTCCTGACCAACGACGCGTACTTCGCGCCCGATTTTTTCGTGAACAAGCACGTGATCGAGCTGGGCTGCGGCATCGGCGTGCCTGGCCTCGCTGCGGCTGCACTCGGCGCCAAGGAGGTCATGCTAACCGACATGGTATGGCCCTCATAGCACTTGATGCAATGGGCGGTTGCTCGTCCACTCACGTGAACTTGTTGTTTTCTGGCAGGACATGGCGATCCCGTGGATCCAAGTCAACATCGAGCGGAACCAGACGCTCGGCTGCATCTCCGGCGACGTCCGCGCGGAGGCGCTCATGTGGGGCGAGAACGCGCCTCTGGAGTCGCACCAGTTCGACGTCATCTTGTGCTCGGACCTGGTGTACGGCGAGCGCAAGATCTCGGAGAAACTGGTGCAGACCATCGCGAAGCTCTCGCACCCCGACACGTTGGTCATCTCAGCGCACGAAGCGAGATTCGCCGGAGACCGCGGCGGCTCCTTCTTCGAGCTATTGTCCGAGCAGAACTTCGAGGTGGAGCAGGTGCCTCGCGACCGACTCGACGCAGTCTACAGCGCCGCCAATATGCACGTCTACCTGCTCCGCCCGCCGCGGGCTTGATGTACAGTAAATTCTTGGATAAATACGACGCATTTTTGCTTGTCCATGCGCTTATTCGCCGAGATGCTGGGCTCGAGGTATCTCCGCCGCTCGCTGGCGCCGCTGCGGCGGCTAATGAGCTCATCCGCTGCTGCTGCTTCACCCGCGTCCTCGTTGTGGCAAGATGTATACAACCTGGACGCCACGCACTGCCACGACCCGTTGGTGAGCGAGGGAGACCTGCAGGTGCTGCTGGACGTCATCACCGAGGACGAGGAGATGGTCGTGGCCGACGAGTGCGCGCGCATACTCAAGCGCCGCCGCTACGAGGAAGGCCACTGGGACAACGTCATCATCAAGTTCAAGGAGATGGAGCGCTCGCGCTGGTCCGCCGAGACGCAGCGCGTCCTGCAGAAGGTGCGCGAGGCCGCCATCCTGCCCAAGGAGCTCAACTACTTCCCGGCCGTACACGTGATCGAGCTGGCCGAGGACGGCTACATCAAGCCGCACGTGGACTCCATCAAGTTCTCGGGCCGCGTGGTGGCCGGCATCAACCTGCTCTCGCCGAGCATCATGCGGTTCAAAGAGGAGCACGGCGACTCGGTGATTGACGCGTATCTGCAGCGGCGCTCCATGTACATGATGACCGGCAGGGTCCGCTACCACTACACGCACGAGATCCTGCCCGGTGCGCAGGTGTTTAGAGGAGAACTGCCGGTCAACCGCACGCACCGCATCTCCATCATGCTGCGCGACGAGTTCCTCGAGGAACACGTCGCCAAGTACCACACGCCGTTCGCCAAACCTGACGTCGAGACGCAGTGAGCTACATGTAGCTGCATGCGTTGGGCATGGAAGACACAAGTGACAACAACGTCCCGTGCAATTAATATTAGGTTGGTTGATTGACTACGTAGCTACACTGTGGCGTCCTATCCGCCGCATCAAAAGCGTTCAATATCGGTAATTCCCATCGCGCTGCCAGCGCTCAAAGTCGTCGGTCGAGTCATGGCTGCGTCTTCTTCCGGGGTCTTCAGCTCGATCTGCACCGCGGAAGACGACACTCTATCGTACACGTACACACGACACGACAGCTTCACGAGCAACTTGCATCCGGCAGCTGGAGCATCGTGCTGCTTAGACGACGACGCGCACGTTGCTCTTGAATTTGGAGGGGCCGGTCGACCGTGAACGAGGCTTCTCGGCGAAGCGGTAGTCCGCGCGGTTGCTGTTCACTACTCGCGTCTCCTTCTTGGCTGACTGCGCGATGGCGTCGGCCTTGCTAATACTCTCGAGAGACGACACGATCTCGGCGGCGCTCGGTCTCCGAGACGGGTTGTGCGACCAGCAGCGCGCCATGAGCTCGGCCCACTTGATATTGCACTGACCGGGCTTCATAATAGGTCGGCAGCCCGAGAGCACATACTCGCTGATCTCGGCGTTCGAGTGCATGTCTGCGTACGGCAGTTCACCTGTTGTGAGCTCCCACATGATGAGTCCGAAGCTGAAAATGTCGACGGCCTGCGGACTCGTGCTGTCGCTCGGGAACGCGCCCTTCAGCACGCGCTCCTCGCCGAGCTTCAGCAGCTCGGGCGCCGTCCACCGCAGCAGGGCCGAGCGCTCGTCAATGCTGTTCATCCTACTCCTATCAAAACCCACAGCCTCGGCCACACGTCGCGTGCCGAAGTCCGCCAGCTTGGCATTCCACGAGTCGTCCACGAGAATATTGGTGCTCTTGAGCTGGCCGTGGACGAGCGGCGGGTCTGCACTGTGCAGGTACAGGAGGCCCCTAGCCGCGCCCAGGGCCAGTCGTATCCGCAGACTCCACTTGAGATTCACCTTCTTCTTTGGCTCACCGAGTCCCCCTGGCGCACTGGCGGTACTGGTAGCGGCTGCGCGGGAGAGCGGTTCGGATCCTTTACGCTTGTGCCTGCTTCTACTGGACGACGCCTTGGGCGCGTGCAGCACGTTGAACAGCGAGCCGCGCGTGCAGTACTCACTGACGATGCAGAAGTAGTCCTCCTGCAGACACGCGCCCATGAAGAGCACCGTGTTGGGGTGGCGCAGACTGCCCATGCGTGTGGCCTCGACCTCCAGCTCCATCTCGACCTTCTCGCGCGCCGAGGGCTTGGACGGCAGAGAGATCATCTTCATCTTCTTGACGGCCACGACGCTGCCGCGGTACGAGCCCTTGTAGATGACGCCCGAGGGACCCTCCCCGATCACGTTTAGACAGACCACTTCGTCGGCCTGCAAGCAACACGCATAACCGGTTAAGTGAAAACAGGATGTGAGTTATGCTTATTCTCTAAAATGGGGCGTTTAGAGAGTGCTAAACGGAGTTTAAACGGAGTTTAGAGAGAGGAGGAGGAGGAGAAGACGTACCGCCAGGAGAGACGTGGTGCCGAAGGTCGACTGCTCCGTGGACTGCATCACGTAGCTGTGGTTGGTCTCGTCCAGCTCGGCCTCGAGCTCGGCCGCCATGTCGCTGTCGGGCAGGCACTTGGACAGACAGAAGCCCATGATCGCGAGGAGAAGACACGCTCTGCCTGTGGCCGCGCGATTGAGTGAGTGACGGAGCGTCTCTGCCTGCGAGGCCGCGAGCGATTGTATTTTTGAACGACCCCAATCTACGACATGACGTGAGGAGCCCAAAATACTGCCCTCGTGGCCCGGCGCTGACCCGCATACTCAAACCAAGTGGTGATCGTCTCGGTCCGCCCAAAACAGCGGAAAAGGGAAGCCCAAACTCAGTTTCCGCCCAACCCTATATACACTCCCTACGCTGACTCCTGCTGTAGCAATCGGAGCGAAAAGAGTGGTCAAGGCCGGCGAGGCGGCCTCGCCGGCCGGCAGTTAACCTCGCTCCGAGCGGCAGGTTTTGTACGATCGAGAGGATCGAATCGTAGCGGCCCGTTGTCAGCGCGGATGATTGACGTCCGCGGGCCTCGTCTCCGCTGACGTCGTTGCGGCGTGTCTACGTCGCGCGATGTGGCGCCAACAAGCCAAAGCCGGACTCGACTCGACTCGGCCAGCAGCTCCGAGCTCCGCGGCCTGCTGGTGCCGGTGCAGCTCGGTGCTCGAGGCAAACCTCAACTCGGAACAACAAGAACAGCATTCTTCTCGCCAAGTGGCGGAGTGGAAGTGGAAGCAAGTAGGGAACTATCCATTGCGGCAGGTTCGATGCCAGCTGCCCGAGGCTAGTTGATTGCCAGCATTGCATCGCGTCGGAGCGAGCGCTGTCGCCCGCCCGGTCGTTCGTTGAGCTCAACGACCCCTCCGTCGCTGTCTGCGCGCGGTTTCTCCTTCTGACCGCGGGCCAGAGCTCCATCAGTATCCGCCGGCTCCGGGCCGGTCAGTGGGCTCCGCGGCGGGATATTCCGCCGGCCTTCTCCAGCTAGGACCGCTCCCAGCGACGCTCAGTGGGTGGCCCGAAGGGTCCTTCTTCGCCATGGCCTTGGCTCCATTGCATGCATGCCCGCAACCACCATCGTCGTCGTTAATCAAGCCGCCGTCGTTCAGCACCGTCCGTCCGTCGTTCGGTGGTTTGGTGGTGAAGCCCCGGCGCTGCCATCTCGGTGTCGAGCATGGACGTTGCTCGCGATCTGGGGCCCCAGATGGCGCGCGACGCGGCGACGAGCTGCATCTTGTGCATCGCAGCGTGCCACGCTAGTCTCACTCGCACTCAACAAGAGTTTTTTTCGGCGTCGCCGTCTTCGCCGCGGCATGAAGAGCGCGATAACGTGCTGCTTGCAATAGCCACGGCAGCAGTGGCCGGCCGGAGGTACATGGGCCATAGAGCGTGTGCTTCGCGTGTTTGTGGGGGTACGCACACGGTGTCGGGTCGACAGACAGTGCCGGCGCCACCGACACTGCCGGACGATCTCCATGAGCGGTGGTTGAAAGTCGCTATCGCTGCATTAATCATTACTCCCCATCGGTAGGATAAGTATGATGGTGCGCCTACCGGTAGCCTCAACTTTAAAACTAAATGTTGCTCGAGTGAACGCTGTTCAAACGTCCTACCGACATTCATACGAAAGAGGAGATAACAGCGAGTTTGGCATTTATTTCCGCATCGAATTTGACCAAGGTAAGATGGTAAAACCCCAAGTAGAAAATTGGGCTTTCGACAAATCTAGGCACACCACGATTTGAGAAATTTTGCCTTTTAGGTCCTGAAAACGCGTCCTTAATGCCCGGGATGGCAACGAATAGCGAGTAATGAGGCAGGGGTACACTCTAGTAGCCGTGAATAGTGTTCATTGCCCGCAATTGTCGAGAAACCTCTTCATTTGGCTTGAAATTACTGCTTTTGGTAGGCTTACTTTGCTCGCCAGTAACTAATGTGCACAGAAGAATCTAGCCATCATGTTTAGCTAGTTAGAGATAGGAAATGACGTACAAGAAGGATACGAAATATTTCAAGCAGAACAATGATGCCGGTGGCAATACCTCAAAGTATTTGTCTGGGCTACCCAGTTTTACTTTTTGAACCGTCTATTCATGCTCCTGTCAGCCTCCGCAGGAGCTCGGAATACGAATCGAGCGTACATCTCATGCATTATAACTGCCTGACTACACTTCTAAACCTCTAGCGCTTTAGTTTTGCTGAGTTCGCCGCTACTCGCAGTTAGAAGCTATCATCCAAGTCTACACAGCGCAAGTGCCTTAGATCGATACACCCCCACGTCTCCGCCTGTACTTTGTACTGTCTATGATGGACATATGTCGCGCTATACAAACTTTCATATTAAAACTAATCTTTACGCGCCTACTAGTAGGATTGTACCCATGCTACTGGTATGCTTTCGACCTGGGGAGAAGAGATCATTAATTATCTATGACATGCACGTTACGTTGTTCGTTCCTTCACGCAGCGGCGTCCGAAGTCGACCTGGCCAGGTCCTGCGGAGTAGCGACCTCGAACTGCAGACGCACCGCGAACTCGGGCGCGAACTTCTTGTGGCCGTGCTTGGCGTCCTTGGCCACCTTGTCGATCTCGTTCTTGGCCAGCGTCAGCTCGAAGTAGTCGCCCACCTGCGGCACGAACGCCGTGTGGAACCAAAAGTGCCCCAGAGTGCCGCCCGCTCGCCCCCGAAGCTCCACTTTGACTTCGTCCCAGACGAGCACTCGGTTGCAACGCAGTTCCAGCTCGACGACCTCTTCGCCCTCGGTGCCATTAGGGCGCTGTTGGCGCTGAAAGCCACCAGGAAGTTCGTACACGGCTGCGCGCGGACGGATAGCACCACATTCAACTCGAACGCGCCAGTCGGCTGCACTACTGTTGGTTTTCTTGTGACCGGCTACTCCACAGAGCACGACGGCAACGAGCACAAGATGTACTCGAGCAGGCAACACAGGCTCCGCGTGTGGGCGCGGGGTTGACCCAATGATACTACTTCGTGGCGACGTGGCTTGCGTCTCTTGCAGCCATTGTGCATGGTATTCTGTTAAGGTAATTGCGCGCTCGCGGGCCGCTTCATCTTCGTAGGGCCCGAGCACTTCAACGTCCTCGACACTCTCGGATCGCCGACACATTTCGGCAAAGTAGCCGACAAACCGCCGCTGGCTCAAGATGGTCACGCCTTGCAGCTTCATTGAGCGTGCGGCGGCAAAGAACTCGAGCGCGCCACGGGCGGAGCGCCACATCCGCGCGTACAGCATGTAGGCGCAGAGCATGACACCGGTTCGACCTTTGCCGGCCTTACAGTGAACGGCGACTACGTTGTCGGAGTTCGCCTGCAGCCAGGCATGCACGTCGCGACAGAATGGCAGCACCATTGACAGTGGAGGAGGGGTATGGTCCTCGAACCCGAATTCAGCGACGCGACCATGAAACTTCTCGTCGGGTGCGTATCGACGCTCCACGCAGAGGTTGTAAACGCGATATTGGCCAGGGTGACGATGCTCGAAGAACCGGAAGACGTCTCGATAGTGGTTGCGATAGATGCCCTCGATCTTCTCGGCCGGGTAGCCCAGTGCCACGAGCTTCTGCGTGACGTACGTCAAGTCCAAGTCAAAGCCGTCCGAGGAGAAGCGTCGCTTTTCCTTGGACACCAAGTGCTTCAGGCGGTTGGCGAGGCCTCCCGTGTGTCTTCTGGACGAGGTTGGGCTGGACGAAGGAGATGACGACGAAGACATTGAAGATGCCGGCTCGGGGTCGAGTTGCGAGTCGATCTTGAGATCTTGCCGCTTGGGTCGTGCACTTGACGGGGACAGAAGGGTTGTAGCTCGAGCTGCAGGTGACGGAGGCGGCGCTGGTGGGGATTCAATCACGCCGTCGACAGGGCCCCATGCCGCTACGGGCGAAGGTGGTAAAGTTGAGTCCACTGAGGAGGCAGGCGAAGCTGGTATCGACTTGTCGTCCTTTCCTCTGTGAAGGTTTCTCTCACTCTGGCCAATGTACTTGACCCTCGTCAGCGAGAACATTCGTTGCATGGTTGACACAATGGAGCTCTCCGGGGCCGTACGGAGAAAAGCAATGAGTTGCTGAACACCTTCAGGCACGTGCCAACAAAGAGAATTTTGAGCTGTCGACGGACGATGGTGGATCGATCGAGAAGAAGCAGAGCTCCCACGCAGTCAGTGTGCCAGGCAACGATGTCGCGGTGCTCAATGCCCTCCAGCTATTTCGAGATGGCCAAGTGCAAATATGCACTGGTGCTTGAAAGCCATTTATGGATTGAAGAGTGTGATTTTTGATTCATCGATTATGCTGTTCCAGCTCGATGAGATAATTCTGCAATGGTCAATCGAAATCGACCTCGGGGTTCACAGCATCTAGAGCCGGCGATTCGTAGTTGGTGTACAGCGCGTACTGGTAGACCAAGTGCGGGATCGAAGGCTTGAAAGCCCTAGCACGGCAGCCCAGCAGCTCGTGGATCATTGCCGCGTTCTCTTCTGCAAAGTCAAGTATCAATTCCAGTTCAGACCAGTGAGTACGCGAGTCTTCGGCATTTTTCAGAGTGATGAGACTTTCTTACCGATGGTGGTGAGCAAGATCTTGCTCTCCTTGGAGCGCAGAAGGAGTTTTATGGTCTCGGCGTAGAGCTCCCACACCTCGCGAGTGATGAACGGCGGGTCCACTATGACGAAGTCAAACGTGCCGGCAAGTTCGGACGGCACGTCTTGGGGCTTGTGGAAGTCGAAGGGGACAAAGTGGTCGCCCTCAGACGCAAACTTCGGGTCAAACTGCAAGAGTGCGGAAGGGGGTTAGCAAACTCTTGTCGACTTCTATCCACGGACTCAGCGACGTACATCGAACAGGAAGCACTCGTGTTGAGTCGAGAAGTCGCTTTGCTGGGACTTGACGGCGAAGTACACGCTGGGGGTAGAGAGGAAGGCAACACGGCCGCCAGATTCCGGAGCCTCGACGATTGCTTCTCTTGCCAGTGTTGCCACCGTGCCGACCGAATACCAGTACTGGTTCAGCTCCTCTTTCTGCCAAGCCACGTTAGCCGCAACCTTGGTTCAAGCATGCAACAATGGACTTACTTACCTCAGGGAATTTCTGCCAGAATGTACGCGTACGGCGGATCTGTGTGGCCTCGCGTGGAGCAGAGCGGTCCTTCATTGCGCCGTTCTGTTTTCTAATGAATGCCGGAGTGCGCTCCAACCGACGCATGCAACGGTTCGGAAAACCATCAATACGATCGGGTATAACATGTATGCTGCCAGGTCTACCAGGCTTCCGATCAAAGGGTAGGCGCGATCACCTTGCATGAAAAAGAATCTGCATTGCTATTTGTTTAGTCGTAGGTGTTGAACACTGGGGAGAAAAAAAATAAACGACGTCACCAAGAACACGTCAAACCTGCAAGCCATTCGCGCTGGTGACAAATAGCCACCCCATCACTGGATTTCCATGACATTGCCCATACTCTGCCGCGCTTTCTCGAAAGCTTGCTCCAGCGGGTCCTCCTCACTGCTTGACGTTGGCGAATAGACAAAAGCTGCATCGCACAGGGCAATAGCGTGGCAAGCTTCGCTTGGACTCTTCCCCTCGCGCACCAGCGACAACAGGTCATCGAACTTGGAAGAAAGCGCATCACAGCGCGCACGTGGCGGCAGAATCGTGCACATTGTTTCCAAGGTAGCCTTCGCCTCGTGAACCGCCTTGTCGTTATCCTTGGCATGCTTCAAGAGCTCAGCAGTGTACTCGCAGAACAGACAGCCCACCGACATCGACTCTTCCTCCGGTACTTCCTTCACCGCTGTGGGCTCGCATGCAGCGATACGCGTGCAGATCATCTCTACATCCTCGTTCTTCTTCAGTGAATCAATGATCATGTCTTGGTGCTTCATCAGCAGCTCACACTACAGTTTTTCACAGCAAAGCAACACATTGTCAGGAATCACGATAAAAGCTGAAGCTCCGTACTTCCGTCTTACCTCGGTAGAGTTCGGGATCAACCGGCAGATGGAGTTGATCTCTCGCTCAAAGGTTGCCAAGCTTTCTGAACGGGTGATCAGAGACGCCAGCAGCAACGTATTCTGCTGGCACGATGCGCATTTCGATGGCAGGAAATCTGACCCCTTCAAGTCTAGTAGACCCGACACCAACGCGCTGGGATCTTCCAAAGCTGAGCAGAACTTTAATGCTTGGCAAATCTCGTGAGGCTCCTTTCCAGCTTGTAGATCAGCAGCAGCTTCGTCGAACATCTTGAGGTCTTCGTGGCACTGTCACAAAGCAAATAAGTGATTCAACACCGTCCTTTTGCATGTATAGCTTGATGCAACGCATAACATACTGTATCGTCAGCAGGAAGGAGTTGACACACGATTCCAGCCGCTTCACGCATTTCCTTGACTTGTTCCGGCTTCTGGTCGAGAGCAAACTTGAGCACAGTAACGATGCCACTGCAGTACGCACACGTGTTGCTTCCCTTCCCATGGCTTTGAATGGCAATCATATCGGACGAAAGGCCCTCAAGCTTGGCCATTGCAGGGTTCATGTCGAACGTGCAGTAATTCAGATCGTGACAAATCGCCTTAGGTTGTTCACCCTTCTGCAGAGAGTCAACCACAGTATCGAACTGCTTCACGAACGAGTGGCACTGCAACAAACACGCATTCGGACACACAATAATCGATAACCGTTAGCACCATGCAAAAATCTGCGTGGGGGTGGGAGCAAACAAACATCTTACCTGGTTGTCGCTCGGGAGCATTCCACAAACCATGTCGGCAATTTGCCGAATCTCCGTAATCTTGCTGGGATCTTCGGCTACAGCCACCTCAATGACGGATGCCACTTGCGTGCAGAAGAAGCACCCATCAACTGACACCTCCATCGAGTCTTTCACCATTTGCACCAAAGCCGGGTTGAAAGCGGAGAAACCGGCATCGGAAGCCGGCAATGCAGCCGCTGCAGCAGTGCAAAACTTCAGCTCCGTGCAAATCGCCTTGGCGCTCATACCCTTGGTAATGGAGTCAATAACGAAGTCGAACTCCTTCACATACACGTGGCACGGGTTATCTGCGCCAAGGATATCGCAGATCATGTCCGCGTACGCACGAATCTGGCGGATGTCAGCACCATATTGCTGGAGCGCGACTTTGGCCACCGTAGTCGCAAATTGGCAGTACGTGCACTGCGTAGCGTTTCCAGGGGGCCACTGCGAAGCCACGACCACGCCCTTCATTTCATTGGCGATGGAATGATCACCCTCCTCCCAGCCTCCCGTTTTGTTGCAGCCGCCTAGTGACTTGCAAATTTCGTGAGGGCGCTTGCCCTCCTTCTCCATTTGCACAATCTTGTCGAAGTTCTTGTCGACAACATCGCACTTGCAGTCAGACGGAACCAGTTGGCACACGTTGGTCAGGATCTTCTTCACGATCGGCAGCTTTTCGGGGGACGTGTGGTTAACATGGTGAATAACAATGGTCACGCGCGAGCAGAAGAAGCAACTGCCATGAGGGTGGGGGTGAGGAGGGTGCGGAAGGTGTTCACCACCATGCATCATGTCCATTCTGCCATGGCGGCCGTGACGGCCGTGACGTCCCCCGGGTCCCATCATACCCACGCGGTGGTGCATTCCAAGAGGTCCGTTTCGCATCATACCCACACGAGGGCTTTCATCCAATTGTGGGGGTGCGTCCAAACTTTCGGCCGAGCAATAATTCAGCGCCTTGCAAATGTCACGAGGGTGCACGCCCTTCTTCAGCGAATCAATCACAGTATCCAACTGGTTGACATACACGTGGCAGGGACTGTCATCACCCAGCATGCCACAGATCATGTCAGCGTAGTCACGAATCTGGTCAATCTGCTCCGGGGATTCTTGAATGATAACCTCCACAACAGTCGTGGCAGCATCGCAGTAGACGCACGTTTTGTCGTCACCGAGCATTTCGGATGGGGGCATTCCATGGTGAGGCGTCATGGGGCAGAACTCCATGCTTCCACAGATCTCGTGGGGTTGCTGACCCTGCTGAGCCAGCTGAACAATTCGATCGAAGTTGGCTTCCACTTCTTGGCATTTCGCCTCCGGCGACGCCATTTGGCAGACATTCCCCAACACGGCCTTCAGCGCCGGAAGCTGCTCCGGGAAAAGGTTGTTCGCTTGGTAGATGACTCCAGCCACACGAGTACAGAAGAAGCACGACTGGTCCTTGTCCTCAAAGAAGTCAGTGGTGACCAGAGCTCCGTCTTCAACCGTCTCGAGCTCATCGGGAGTTGCAGACGCATCTTCAATCTGGCTGGCGCTGCCGCTGTCCGACGAGCACATGGAGATCCGCGCGCACACCACCAGCGGGTCCGTGCCGTGCTTCAGCCAGTCCACGATGGCGTCGTAGTTCTTGAGGAACGTGTGGCACATGGAGTCCGCCGCCATGGCGTCGCACAGGTCTCCGATGATGGCTCGGACCTGCTCCACCTGCTGCACCTCCTGCTCCAGCGCTTGGTCCACCATCTGCACGAACCTCTGGCACAACTTGCACGACAAGTTGTCCGTCCCCTCCAAGTCCGAGACCGCCGACATGGCGTCGCACACCTCGTCGTCCGTCTTGCCCTCCTGCAGGAACTTCTTCACCACGTCCTCCGCCTTCAGCACCACGTTGCACTGCCACACAGAGAACACCAATCAACACCAATCAGCATCTTCCTCTTCTTCTCCACTCCAACCACAGTATTAAATGCCCTCTCACCTGCTCGATGAGCTCCGGGCGGCCGAGATCTTCGCACGAGGTCTCACTCCAGAGCTGCAGCGAGACCGTGCCGAAGGCCGAGCGGAAGTATTGCATCAGCGTCTCCGCCTGCTGCTGCAGCGCGTCCTGCTCGTGGATCTTCTCCAGCGCCTTCAAGCACGCGCGCTTCCTCTCCAGCGCCGGGTCCTCCGGCTCCTCCTCTTCAATCAGCACAATGCGCACAGTGGCGTCTTCCGCCTGCTGGGGCGCCCCCAGGCTGAAGAAGCGCTGCAGCATCTCGCTCGAGCGCTGGAAGTGCTCGTTCAGCACGGCCATGAGGCCGGCGGTTGCATCGTCACGCTCGTGGTGGCAGGGCATGGCGGCCTCTGGGGCCCGCATGCCGCGGCGCATGCCGCGCTCGGCGCTCGCGGCGGCCGCCAGGCTCAGCAGCAGTGGCAGCGCGCGCATCTTTCCTCGTCCTTCTCCTCCTTCTTCAAGCTGGGCGAATCCGTGCGACTCTGGAGAAGAGGACGGATGGCACGACTCGGGATGCTGTGCGCATTCCCCTGTGTTGGCTGATTCATGCTGAGATCGAGCAAAAAGGAGCTGGTCGGGTGTACCAGTTGTACCAGACCGACGTTGCAGCTCACAGGGAGTTGGCTCGGGATCAGTTGGGGAGAAGGGGGGTCGCCTATAATGAATCCGTCGCGGAAGGGTTGAAGTGGCAGACCAATCAGAATCGCCGCACTGGAGCAGATCCTTGCAAGTCAAGTTGCACCCTGTACTCTTTGACGAGCGCCACGTTATATCTATTAAGGCGGTGAAATCGTACACAGACAAGTGTTGTTGCAGACACATTGACGTCGTTTTCTACAGTCATTGCTTAGTATAAATGTAATCTTATATCGAAACTCATCACTCGAGTCCCTATGTCGTAGCCAGCTCGCTAGCTGTTTGATCGTCCTGGGGATCGAACCAGGCCAACACGGAAGAGCTGGCCCAGAACAGTACTCGATTGCTCCCTCTTGATCGATCCCCTGGAAGACCGTGTCGGTACTGGAGACGACTCTTCATCACTGCCAGATTGGCGCGTACCCGACCGCTCCAAAGAGATCGACCGAACCAGCTCGTCTGCTTCAAATGGCTTGCATTCCAACACACTCTGCACCAACGCTCGTTGCAATCGCTGATACGAAGAGCTCGTCTCACATCCTCCAGCACACGAACACGTACCGCCGTACTCCACCGGAAGACTCTCCGCATCGATGAACTCCAACAGTGCACCCGCAGTTTCACTCTCTGTCAAAATGTTCGTCTTGGCGCGGGTAGCTTCGTTCAGCAGCGGCTTCACCCCCTTCCACGCCATACCGAACCACGACGGAACGTTCACGATGAAGATCTTGAACGACCGCTGCGGGTAGTGGCGCTGCATCACGCTCGTGCAGCGTCGGATGAACTCGAACGCCTCGCCGCCCATGTCACGCATCCCGATGCCGCGTGCGTCCAGCACGATGCACATCTTTTGTGTCTCACTGGATGCACATGCGTCGCACGGGCATATCTGGTGGGCCGCGTACTTGATCGTGAACTCCATGGCGAATAAATAGTGTTTGAACAGCGCTTCCTGTGAGACGCCAGCCTTCTTGAGCTGCGGAATGTTGATGGAGCCGACCTTCTCGAAGTAGAGCGGGTGACCGAGCTTGTCGTGCTTGTGGAGGAACTGTGTGTAGTGTCTGTACAGAGCAACCGAGCAGCGAGTTATTACACTGTGTTCAAGTGTTTCCATTGAGCCGGGGGCTCCGTGACACGTACGTCTTGATGGTCTCGTAATACCTCTGCGGTGTCATGAGGATCGAATCCACCCTCATCTCCTTCCTCCACGCCAGCGTGGCCTGGTAACGCTGCGCGGCCTTGGACGCGTCTCCATTCTCCGCCACCAGGTAGGCCGAGGGGATCTCCATCTTCTCCATCTTCTGGTTCGTGCTTGCGCTGTCTATCCGGCCTGAATGTGAGCCTGTCTGGACAAACGACACCACAGCAAATAGGATTCACAGCGTCAGAGCGGGCGCTGAACTGCGCGCTTTGGGTCTCCGCTTCTAGCTAACCTCGGGCGCCTTGTGCCAGAATGCGCGCGTCCAGCCACGGCGATGCTCGCGCATACTGTGCGTTGGTTGCTAGCGGACGCTGGCTGATTGAGCACTGATTCAAAAAGAAACGGCTCAGACCTTTACATGTTTTTCAGTCTCTATCAATCTGTCAACCGTTGCTGTAGTCCTGACGCACGTCACCTCGGAGTTTCGTGCGCATTGAGAGCTGTCGGCAGGTCGTCGGGCTCCGGACTGGCTTCCTGCTTGGCCCTGGGCGATACGATCGGGGACCGCTCGGGGCTGGCCGCGGGCGTGGGCGCGCGGAGCTTCATCTGCTCGATGGCGCCCTGGATGGCGTCTACCCACGTGTTGAGAACGCTGGGCGTCGGCGCGTACAGCAGCAGCGAGTGGCCGTTGGCGGCCATCAGCGGCGTGACGATCTCGAAGCTGTTGTTCTGCTTGGTGGTCTTCTGCACCACGGTATCGTGCGTGAGCGACACGATCTGGTAGATCTCCGAGTCGAGCGTCTTGGCGAACCGGAGGAACTGCGGGTGGAGGATGAAGAGCTGGCGGTGCCAGATCGGGTTGAACTGCTTGTGCCGCAGCGACCGCTTGAGCAGGTAGCCGGCCTTGAGCACTTCCTCGCTGAAGAACCCTGCTGGGATGGAGCGACAGAACCCCTCGTCGTCCACTCCGTCCAGCGTGAAGCCGTCATCGGTGCTGCTACTGCCGATTCGGAAGAGCTGGTCCAGAACAGCAGTGGCAGACGTCTCGCGCTTGATGGGCCCCATTACGGGCGGCGGCGAAGACGCAGGCGTAGCTGATGAGGACGCATCAGCTTCACTACTTGAACGACTCTTACCCGAGCGCTCCACTGCGATAGATTGCATCAGCTCGTCTGCTTCAAATGGCTTGCATTCCAACACACTCTGCACCAACGCTCGTTGCAATCGCTGATACGAAGAGCTCGTCTCACATCCTCCAGCACACGAACACGTACCGCCGTACTCCACCGGAAGACTCTCCGCATCGATGAACTCCAACAGTGCACCCGCAGTTTCACTCTCTGTCAAAATGTTCGTCTTGGCGCGGGTAGCTTCGTTCAGCAGCGGCTTCACCCCCTTCCACGCCATACCGAACCACGACGGAACGTTCACGATGAAGATCTTGAACGACCGCTGCGGGTAGTGGCGCTGCATCACGCTCGTGCAGCGTCGGATGAACTCGAACGCCTCGCCGCCCATGTCACGCATCCCGATGCCGCGTGCGTCCAGCACGATGCACATCTTTTGTGTCTCACTGGATGCACATGCGTCGCACGGGCATATCTGGTGGGCCGCGTACTTGATCGTGAACTCCATGGCGAATAAATAGTGTTTGAACAGCGCTTCCTGTGAGACGCCAGCCTTCTTGAGCTGCGGAATGTTGATGGAGCCGACCTTCTCGACGTAGAGCGGGTGACCGAGCTTGTCGTGCTTGTGGAGGAATTGCGTATAGTTCCTGCAGAGCCGAAAAATAAACTAGCGTTAGTATGAAACATGTAGAATGCAAAATAGTAGCTACGTACGCTTTGATAGTGTCGTAGTGCGTCTGCGGCATGGTTAGAATGGAGTCAGCCAGCACTTCTTTCCTCCACGCCAGAGTGTTCTGGTAGCGCTCCGTCGCCTTGGCGACATCTCCGTTCTCCGCCACGACGAAAGCTGGTGGGACCTTGATAGCTGCCGCTTCCTGCATTGCCTTATTGCTAGTATTTTCCAATCGCTCGGAGTCGGATGCTTCGAGGGCCACAATGGTAAAGTTCCAGTTGCCCAGCTGATGTTCATCCTTTGGTTTGATCTGCCTTGCCGTAACCACTTGGCCCGGGAAGAAGACTTCCACCGAAAACACCAACACTGCAACTGTCAGACCAACATATACGGCCGGCAGCACCACAATCGAGCCAAGCACGTGCGTGAACACCGAAGCCGCGCTCAGATACACGAGAACGATACCACACGAGAGCTTGAAAATCTGTCGATAGGTGCCACGCAGCGTTCCGCGGAGGTCTCCCTTTTTGCGGCCAACAGCGCGCGTGGCCCGAACAAGAACACGCATGGGGCGCTTTCCATTGAGCACCACTCGATAAAATGCCCGGCCCTCGTGCTTGAGGAACCGCTGGCATGGAATCCGCAAACGACCACCGTCGGAAAAGTGGAGCACCAACATCATCGATCGCCGTAAGTCCTGAAACACAATAGAAGTCCCCACCTCGGCATCCTTCCTGGTAGTTACCAGCACCCGTGTGCTTGGGCTGCGGTGGCCAGCTTCCTCTGAAACTTGCGAGCTGTCATTGCTTTCTTTCACGTCCTTGATCTCAATAGACTGAATAGAAGGGAACTCCTGGCCGTGCATCTCAAACAATATCGTTTTACCACGACCGTCGCACCGCAAGTGTCCGCCTTGCACGGGCGCACCCTCCTGCTGCTTGCTGAAGTGCGTGATGACGCGATTGAACTTGGACCGCGTCCGGTTCGAGTCGGCCACGTCGATAATAAGGTTTCGATCGCCGTAATACATGACCTTGCCCATGGTTCTCAGCGCGGCCGTGGCCAGATGCAACTCCACCTGCGTGGGCTTCCCGAACGTGGTCTCGGCCATGGTCTTCGTCGTCTTGGCCAGGTTACTAAAGAAGAGGAAGTTGTCCTCGTCGTCGGACGAGTCCGAGCTGCTGTCGTCTCCATCCGTGTCCGGCTGCAACTGGTAGAAGGACAGGTACATCTCGCCCGGCGTGTTGGACTCTTTCGGCCCGAAGCAGCCGTTCTTGGTGCTTGGCCCGACGCCCATCTTGTTGTTCCAGACGCGGCCGGCCGCGTCCACGAGCACCACGACGTCTCCGTAGCTCACGGGCGTGCCCACGCCCAGGCCGCAGTTGGACAGGATCATGAAGACCGACTCCTTAAACTGCTTGGCCCCGCACGCGGCGATGGGCGGGATGCAGGCCAGCTCGTCCTGCTTCTGCGCGTTCTTGGACGCCAGGAACCGCTTGCCGCCCTCAAAGGTGCCGACGTAGCCGCCAGCGGCCGTCGGGCCCGCGTACTTACTGCGCGCGAAGAGGCGGATGGTGTCGCCGTAGCGCACGGCCACGTGGGGCGGCGCGCTCTTGGAGACCGTGTCCAGCGGCATGGAGCCGTGCACGGCCACGTCATGAGGCTGGCGCCGATGATGGTAGAGCGGCGGGTTGAAAGTCGCAGCGGGCCGCGAGGTGGCCCGGGGCCGGCTGTCCGGCAGCGTCACCGGCCCGGGCGGCGTGTCGGTGCTGTCGGCGCTGTTGCTGGTGCTCGAGCTGCGGCGCAGGCCGAGGCCGAACCCGCTGCTGGTGCTGCTGCTACCGTCATCGTCCGCCTTGGCGCGCCGCTTCCGCGCGCGCAGCGACACGCCCGAAAAAAGCGTGCTGCCGTTTGGCGGCGCGGCCACGCCCTTGACGGCGCCCAGGAGCTGCATGGGCGGTCGAATGGGTAATAGATCGACTTCTCCGACACCTTATGTGCGCGTGAGTCGGGTTGCCCTTTTGAGCCTGATGCCGAGCTCGCTCGCTCCCTTATCCGGATTCCGACTCGTTTTCGTACCGCGGCTTTTGGGCCGTGAAATAGGTCGGGTTGCATAAAAGGACGAGTATGTCGCTAGGGAAGTGCCCATTTCCACAACTAGCATTTGCTGCAACTGGAGCACTGTACATGTAGTGCACTGTACTAGTATACTGGGAACACCCGAAGAATGAGGTGGACACGTGCTACACGAGCCAGAAGGATGTCGGCCGAGCAGGTTCAACGGCAACTTTCAGACTGAGGCAGGAAATGCACATCGACATCAACAGCCCCATGCACCAGCTTCAGAAAGTGAACTGCGGCACGCGCGATATTCATGGGTGTGGCCCCTGCGGGGCCACACCCTTGAATCACGCGGGCCACAGTTCTCCCTTATCACGGCAATCACCACCGGTACCAGCACCAGCGCTTTATACCACACCCAGCCAAGTCGAAGACGACCTAGTTGTGGTTTTCAACTATTTTGCCGCCCGATTTGACGTGTTATCTCGGAGCTCCTATTCGGTTTTCACAATAGTCCAATTTAGCTATATCTGACCTGAGTTAGTAGCATAAGGCTCAGAGGGGAGGCATTCCAAGTTGGCCATACCTTCATGACGCATTAGAACTGCACGACATTGGGGACAATAGTACACTGTATATATTCATAGCACTATGGCCAGCTAAATCACCTGTGTGATCATCTACGGTCGCTACAACTCCGTGCCACGCCGATCTGAGAGGACCCCAGACATGTTTTCGCGGCGGTCCCTTTTGCCGGTGAAAAGCGGCATTTCTGGCCCCTCCTTCGCAACTCGCAGCCCCCAGACGCAAATCGGGCCAGATATAGTTTGCTTCCCTCAGCCCCTCCTGCTAAATCGGAGCCCTCCAGCAAATCGGGCCCGATATATCGGATCTCGGATCACCCGATTTGCCAAAACGGATGAAAGCCACAATACAATTGTGCCTTGCATGCTTTCTGTCTAAACAACGACGTAATTCGTTGTTTTAGCAAATCACGGTGATTAGCCCATCATTGAGTTAGGAGGCTAACTCGTCGATTTAAGATAGAATAGCTGCTATTAATAAGACAACGAGTTAACGTTGAGTTATGCTCACTTTCGTTGAATGGCTGGAGTAAATCCGACAATACTACGGCCCTGACATTCCAATTCTAACTCGCTCGCTTTGTCTGATTGCTTTCTAGTCGATGATTGACATGCGTTGGCGATCTATCGTACTAAACTACGTGTACAATATTGAAGAACATCCCTGTTTTTATATCGAGGAGCTGCAAGCAGCTTTAAGTCAGCGTTTCCTGAACTACCAAACATTTCTAGTAGAAATTTTCTACTGCTACTATATGCCGTGCTATGAAATTCGAGCTTGGTTTAACGCGCAAGGCCACGACGAAGAGAGCGAAAGAAAACGTCCCCGCCGAAATCGGTGCTTACTATTATCCAAGGAGTTGGCGCCATTCTATCGGGGACCTTATCAGTTTGTTTTCTTGCAGCGACAACCGATTTATTCTTGCAGTGGCAACCGCTCCGTTCTTGCTCTGCGTTGTGCTTGCGGTTGATTAGCTTAACTTTAACTTCGAGTTAGGCTGCGAGATATGATCACCTGGAAGGATTTGCTCGTTGGTTTAGAGCCCTTAATCGCATGCCAAAGTTCGTGCAAAGCACAATAGTACTTGTATTGTGGCTTGCAGCGATTTTGGCAAATCAGGGCCTCATATATCCGATATATCGGGTCCGAATTGTTAAAGTGGTCCGATTTGATGGGATCGCCATTCCGATTTGTTAGCAGCTACCCGAATTGCCGCTTTAATGTTGCAATTCTGAGGGGCAGTGATTATCTCAGGTCAGCTGTGGCAAATCCACTACATGTACAATCGGGGGTGCATGCACGGCAGCGTGCCTTTTACGGAAGAGTAGTGCCATGGCAACATACACCGCGTCGATTCTTTCAGCTAAGAAAGCAGAACGAACAAGTAAACAACCCGCTCGCTGCGCTGTCACCTAAGCTATCTCTGCACCTACTAGTTAGAGTAGATGGACATTGAACAGTGTAGAGCATGCTTTATTTGACTTCACTATGTATTTCACCTGCTTTGAATGTTCGATCCCTATTTCAGACCCCTACAGCTCCAATTTATATAAATCGGGGTTCGATATAAAGTTGTAAATGAGAGGGCAAAATCCCTGCAAGCCACAATATACAGATCTCCAGATCTAAGCCCAAAAACTCGAGATGCGTAGCTCCTCCCCGTCATTTAGTCGGTGGTGAGCAAGACTCCGCGCTCACTCACACTGAATAGTGTTGAGCTAAGTAAGTAAACGTTGTCGAGGACGAGAATTCTTCGTTGCCACCAGCAAAGCGATGTATCGGGATATGTAATGACGAGCTTGAAGCACAGGGCGTCCGCTGTAACATGCTGAAATAGTCTTCAACATTGCACGTTTCCGGCTCAATTCTCGCTTTGCAAATTATTTCATAATAGTCTGGCTGTCCGGCGTAGCATCAGATCGGAAGGAACTTACGCGCACAGCATCTGAAGGTTGTATGGGTTTCGTTCAAACCTTTCGGCTTCTTCAGGTTCGAGATAAAGCTTCGCGATACAGATTGTTTCCTCATGTACGACCGTTTTCAGAACTACCCATTTCCTTACAGCCTGCTTATCCGGACGAGTTTCTGACGGTTCATGTGACGTGTGCTGCTGCTACCGTAGCGCGTTGTCGCTCGTTGCCGCAATTTTTGCAGCAGTGCTGTCAGCGCTGTCGTCATGGATCGCAATGTATGCCAGCCACCGCATCAGCGTTGCTCAATACATTTTTTTCAGCTCGAGACAGCAACGACTGACGGTGAAGTTACACAAAGTCTGCCTCGTTGCTTGGGAGCTTCCGCCACCATTGCGTTTACCACTGCCAAGACTCGCGCCGGAGACTCTGGTCGGTCCGACAACGAGCCCGAGGTGTTAGCCACGCACTCCTACACATCTGCGAAAAGACCAGGCAGAAATCCGGTGACGTGCTTGTCGAGCTGTCAAATTGAAATGGTCGAGCCAACGACGACAAGCTCGGCTGGGTGTCTGGAGTCCTCGACATCGCGGCATCGCCTTGTCACGGCCTTGAAATGCCTGGTCGGACAGATCAGCGGATCGCTTGCCCGAGCTGGAAACCCATCGGCTTTCTCGGGCGACGTCGGGCAGCGCCGTGAAAACTGCGCGGCATCATCTCTGCCTGTCCACATCTGAATGCTCAGGAAGCTGATGGTGCCTGCAGCATGACGTCAGCCTCGTCTGGTTGTCCGTTGAGTGGCTGGCGTCGCCGGCGACTCACCGCTCACAAGTGCATCCAGGAGCTACATACAGCCTCGCGTTCCTCTTCAACTCTATGCAAGTACACGTAGTATGAGGGAGGGCACAGTTCAAGAAAGCTAACACACCCGTAAGTAGTCAAATTTGCTTTTTATTGACGTTGAAGCACCCCGTGGCGAGCTTCCAGCGGTCGATACCTTGCTGCAATTAACTCTGCTGGAGGGAGGAGGACGGGGGTGCGTGTTCAATCAATCGAGCTCGCGCTATCATATCGATAAAATCAAATCACATGTATGGGGATGGATGACTATGCAGGCCGGCCGACCGGCCGACCCTCGCTGCTTAGCACAATACAGACCCTAACGAAATCTGCATGGCGTTCTTCGAGCGTTCTTCCTACTTCCGCGGCGGCGTGGCCGGACGCTGCGTGCCCAGACCGTTGTACGCATAACGCTGCTTCTTCTCCGCAGGCTTGAGGATCTGGAACGAGCACATAAGCGTCTCGTCCACAGACATCATGGCGCCGGCGTTGTCGAACTCGCCGCAGTAGTTGGGTGCTGAGAAGAGCGTGACCAGCTGACGCTTGGCAAAGAACTCATAGCCGTCCTCCACCACCTGGTGGGCTCGGCAGATCAGGTCGAGGTCGTGGCGCTTGAGAAACTGGCTCACGATGTCCGGGCCGAACGTGAAGGATACGCCGCGGTCGTTCTCTCCCCAGCCCATAATGTCCTTGTCGGGGTCGGACCACAGCAGGTCGCAGAGCAGGCCAGTGTCGGGCACGTCCGTGGGGCGCACGAAGCGCTTGATCTGCTCCATCTGGCTCAGCTCGGGCGACAGGCCGCCGTGCATGCAGAAGATCTTCTCATCCACGATGGCAGCCACGGGCAGGCAGTTAAAGCAGTCCGTGAAGGTCTTCCAGAGCTTGATGTTGTAACGGCGCTTGCACTCGTCGTAGAAACCGTAGATGCGGTTGATGGACGCGCACTCGTGGTTGCCGCGCAGGATGAAAAAGTTCTCCGGGTACTTGATCTTGTACGCCAGCAGCAGGCAGATGGTCTCCAGACTCTGTTTGCCGCGGTCCACGTAGTCCCTACAACAGCCAACACACCAACCAACCCAATAAATCAGATCTCCAGTTCTCCCCCTCGCCTTCCCAGCGGTCTCAATGGCCTATCCTGCACTACTTACCCGAGGAACAGGTAGTTGGCGTCCGGGGGGAAGCCGCCGTACTCGAACAGACGCAGCAGGTCGTAGTACTGGCCGTGGATGTCACCTGCAGACAAGAAGAGCAGCGTCAGAACCCTCGCTCCCAGGCGCGTTCAGTCTACTACTACTACGCGTCTGAATGCTGCTGAAGACACGCACCGCAGATCTTGATGGGCGCCTCCAGCTCCACCAGAATGGGCTGCGCCAGGAACACCTCGCGTGCGTGCAGGCACAGCCCGCGGATCTCCGTCTCCGTCAGGTTCACCTGCTTCCCGGGGCGCGCGCCGCGCACGCTCAGCAGCTTCTCGATGATGCTGTCCACGTCGATGGGCTCGAGTCCGGACGACGCCATGGCTGCTGCAGTAAGGCTTGGCTTGGCTTTCCCTTGTCGCTCTCGGCCCTTCCTTCCTTCTTCGGTTTGGTCGAGGGCGCAGTGTCCAGTCCCCCCTGCTCCTCCCTGGATGGTTCGCGCGAAGCCGCGCCATTGGACATTAAAGCGCTCGAAAACCGCCGATTCGCGGAAAAGAAGCGTCTGTTTCGACCAATTGCCGCGCGTGGAAAGGAACGGCAAAACAGCTGTGTCTCGAGGTGGTGATCACCTTTGAGCCTGTTCGCTACGTAGCTGGAGATGGAGACGAAAACCAAAAGTGTGACCGGATTGGTCAAAAGTAGGTAGCACACAACAAGACAACTAGAGATGGCACTGTGAATTCGTCTCCAGCTCTTTGAGGTGGAGAGGGGCGGATCTACCTAGAGATTTACAGGGCCAGGCACAACATGGGAGACGAAGATGCAATTGTCCTCGCTGCGTGCTCCGCCGTGGCACAGGCTGTGGCTTTGTATGCAGACAGTTGCGAACCAGGACCTCCTGCTGGCAAGAAGAACCGTTTTACCGTCACCACTCTGCGCTTCGAGTCGATGCTTCAATCATCAGGTTCGAGACCAATCTGCGCTGTACGAGATCCACCTTCTTCCGTATAGCTAGCTTTCTACAAGAGCATGGGGTCGCTTTTGCACAAGCTAAGGTCAAGAAGCATTCCTACGAAAAGAAGGTGGCAGCGGCGCTGTATTTCCTGGGCTCAGCGGGTGGATATCGCGAGGTGGGAGCTGCAACGGGCAGCTAGAAGCTACGTCATGGAGATCACTACGGAGGTAGTTCGCGTGCTAAATGCGGTAGCGCCAGCGGTGATTTCTTTTCCGCGCAGTCGGGACGGGTGGACTGCTGTTGAGGACGGCTTTGCATCGCCACATGGTTATCCAGGTGTCGCCGGTGCTATAGATGGCTCTTTGATTGCTATTGAGCGTCCTGATGACTATGACGGCTTCTACTGCCGCAAGTGCTATCCTGCGCTCAATGTACAGGCTATCGTGAGCCCCGACAGGACCTTCATGAGCGTTGAAGTGCGGCCAGGTTCTTGGTCTGACCGAAAGTGCTGAAACTCTAGCAACTTTGAACGCCTCAGCAATGTTGTTCAGTCCCGCACCAATTGCTCGCATTCCTTCTGCATTTTCAGCCCTTTCACGGGCTCTTTTGCCAGTGTTACGCATCCATCCACTGCTATTTTGCCCGCCCTCGTGATCAGCTACATCAATGTCCTCTTCATGCTGTAGCGGCGGCTCAGCAGTAGAGCTCTGGCTGAGCTCCAGTGCATCCTCGTCCTCCAGCAGTTCAGTGCTTGTTGCATCACTAGAGAAAAGCGCGCCCGCATCCATGCCTTCTAAGTCCCCCCACACGTCACGCACAGCCTCGTAGCACACGGGCTCCTTCAGCGGCTTCTCGGTGGCGTTACCGGTAGCCTCCAGAGCAACACGGTACGCGGTGTACTGCTTGTGCATATGCTTCAGCTACAATAGGATTAAAATGAAGTGAACTCGGTTAGCATTAACAAGTTCCTGTCAATAGTTTGTCATCATACACACCTTTGACTTGCACTGCCCTGCATCAACTTCAAGCCCTCCGAGGCGGAATGTTTCGGCAGCAAGCATTTTCCATGCCGCAGTAAGCTGCTTGGGGCTCCTCGTTCCCTGAAACCAACCTCTCATGGTATCGTAGCGAAGCCGCAACAGCACTTCGGCCGCTCTCGGTGTCCAGGCAAACGACGGCTTGACGTTAGCAGCTCCTTTCAGACGAGACTTGCCTCGGCCCTGTGCTGCTTGCGGTGCGGCCGAGGCTTGCAGACGCTCGAGCATGCGAGATGGAGCGGGAGTAGGCTCTGGCGTAGCGGACATCGCCACTGATACTTGAGCTAGCGGAACAAATGTGGACGCAGTCTCGGCGCCTTCTAGCAGCAGACCTTCATCACCGGCAGATGGTGTCAGCGAGACGAGGGGCTCGGACGCTGGCGTTTCGTCATGACGTGCGGGGGGCGCAGGAACCGAAGAGCCTTGAGCAGCGGCATGTGCCGCACGCGTGGCCGCACTGGTGACGCGAGTCGGCATTTTCTCAAGTGGGGAGGAGAGCCATCCCATATCTGTCCTGTGATTGGCTTAAAATTTGTCTGGAGATGGATACATAGCGAACGAGCTGTAGGTGGAGATCAAGCACCATCTCTGTAACGGGGTTACATGGAATAGTGACCCTGTCACTATTCCGGGATGGCTACATCGGTCACTCCCCTTGATAGTGACCCAAGTGGCCTCAGAGCCAACAGATACATTTTGTATGGCACAAACTATAGGGAACTTAGGATTTGTATGCAGGCCAAATCTGTACCAACCTATAAATACATTCAGTCTTTGATCTACCGCTTTTCAAGTCAAGTCGTCCCCTTCAGACCAGGGACACGTGAACGGCTGTTCACTTGGAGTTTGTATACTTCTGCTTCCTCTGTTAAGAAGTGCTGTGTGCCCCGTCACACTTGGTAGCACTTGTAGTCAATCCTACGCCTACGCGGGTAGATTGGACTACCTGAATCCTCTGTGGTCTCATCGAGTGAGCCAAGATGGATCGTACGGAGTTTCCCCATCTGAACGACTCGCAGGACGAGTCCGTTCGTAAGATGGCAGGCATCTTTGGGACAGATGCCCTGTGTAGCTTAGCGGCGGCGACGCCGGCTGAGCAGGTTGAGCGTATCAACGCGTTCGACACCTACGAGCGAGGGCTCATCGCCCACGTTCAAGGGCTGCAGGCCACTGCGGCCGCGCCGAAGCCGGTGCAACCGAAGCCCCTGCGGCTGAAGGTTCACCCCTTCGAAGGGAAGGAAGGAGAAAACCTTCACTTGTGGGTTCGAGAGGTTGAGCTCGCGATGGACGCGGCTCTCGTCTCGGACGAGCGACTCCGTGTCGCCATTGCGCTCTCCAACCTTAGTGGTCGCGCTAAGAGTTGGGCGTATACGCGCGATCGACGACGCCTGGATGCTTTGCATCATGGTCCCAGCTGTGCGAGCAGCTGCGGGCCGCGTTTCATCCGGCGAACTACGAGTACCGCCAGCGTTCGCGCTTCCTCGCCTGCAAACAAGGATGGCGCGAGCTGCATGAGTACATCCAGGAGATGCGAGTGCTCACTGCCTCTTTGGTGGGGAACCCCCTGCCTGAACACATCAAGGTGACCGTGTTCATGGACGGTCTGCGTGTCGGTCCTGCCCGCACGCAACTGTTCCGTGTGCAAGCAAACACTATGGAGGAGGCGATTCAGATCGCCCTCCAGGAGGAGTACAGCCACAAGCAGGCTCGTACCCCCGCCACGGTATGGCAGAGCAACCCTGCCTCTGGCGGTGCGCCTAATGGTAACTCCGGCAATGGAGCGATCAACGGGCCGGTTCCCATGGATCTGGGCATGGCCGAGCAGAGCGACATTCGCTGCTACGGCTGTGGCAAGCTTGGGCACATGAAACGTGCTTGTCCCGCGGGAAGACTGAAGAAGAAGTTCTCTTCGAAGCCCTTTGGCTCTAGGGGTCGCTGGCAGAAGCCGCGCCCCAGGAACCAGGAGAACGCCGGACACAAGTAGGGGCAGGGCCCCCTACTGGGGAAACACTAAGTCTTCATGAGGGGCGTGCGGGTGGCGCACGCCATGGGGACTTAGCCCCTGAGAGTCTCTGTACTCTCGAAGCGGAGAAGGGCAGCGGTGGGCTACTTGTGGTGCACGCGAGTGTACCGGGATACGATCATCCCTTGAGAATCTTGATCGACTCTGGGGCGTCCAAGAACTTTGCGCGCCGCCAGACTGTCGCACGCAATCGCGACAAGTACGCCGATGCGCTACGAGGCAGCAAAGGCAACGGGCTGGTCTCGGTAAGACTGGCCGACGGTACGGTGGTAGAAGTACCTCGGGTCCACATGGACCTCACTGTCAAGTTCGAGGACTTCGACAGCTGCTGGAGATGGCGCCGCTGGCGTTGGCGTGGGTAACCAAGTTCCACGCGAGGTCACTCAGACCGTAACTGATGAGGAAGGCACTGCAGGCGCTTCCGAGGTGGGTAACATAGTTCCACAGGAGGTCACTCAGACCATAACTGATGCGGGAGTCGCTGGAAGCGCACCTGGTGTGGGTAACCAAGTTCCACACGGCGAGGTGGGTAACATAGTTCCACCCAGCAAGGCGGGTAACCAAGTTCCGCTCAAGGACAAGGCGGGTAACGTAGTTCCGCACGAGATCGAGAAGATCGGTGGTGCCGTCAAGGCGGCGCCACAAGACGAAGACACCCGAGGGTCACGTCGTAAGCCGGGCCAAGTCGTGTTGCCGACGACGCCAGTCGCCAGCGACTCCGAGCCTCCAGCCAAGGCTCCAGCCGCCGAAGAGTGTTATCACATCTTCGACGGCGTGACCGGTAGTCGGGTCAAGACAGGAGCTGTCGAGCTTACAGCTCTGCCCGAGGTTTCAGAGTTGCTGAGCCTTGAGGAGCTCGCCATGGAGGACTTCTTGGCCGAGCTAAAGGCCGGGGAGATCGCAGAGTTGGTTCTCCTCCGACCGGAGTCCACGTCGGCCGAGTTGAACTCATCCTCGGTCATGGACCAGGCAGTCCTGGAGGAGTTCCAGAGACAGCGCGCGTCGCGCATGGGCTCTGAGATTCTTAAGAACCCCCGGGACCCGGTGTACCCCTAGGTGAAGGAGTTTGAGGACGTGGTGTCCAAGGATCCACCGTCCAATCTCCCTCCGGACAGGGGAATCAGGCACGAGATCGATCTCGTGCCGGGCACGAAGTACTGCGTCACGAGGCAATGGCCTCTTCCCCGGGAGCAGTGTGAAGTCATTGATGCCTTCTTTGCCGCCAAGGCGAAGGCAGGCATGGTGCGGGAGTCGAAGTCCCCGCACTCGACGCCTACCTTCTGTGTTCGCAAACCGAACGGAAAGTGGCGTCTGGTTCATGCTTATAACAAGCTGAACAGCGCGACAGTGCCTGCGCAGACACCGATCCCGCGCAAGGACGTGTTGCTCAACAACATGGCCGGCTGCACGCTGTATAGCGCGCTGGACCTGGTGGA